GGCTCCCTGAGCTTGGCTCCGTTGGAGCGCGTCCTGCCTTCCTCTGCAGGGGAGAACAGGTCTCTACCCATCTCCATGTGACATCCCCTCTCATACCTGTATGTCGCCAACATATCCCCTCTGAGTCTCCTCCAGGCTGAAGAGACCCAGTTCCCTCAGTCTCACCTCATACGGCATCCCCTGCAAACTGGCCACCAACCTTGTGGCCCTACACTGCACTGACTCCAACCTGGCTAGATCCTTTCTGTAATGAGGGGCCCAAAACTGAACACAATACTCCAGTTGCGGGTGCACTAGAGTCGTGTAGAGTGGTAGCAATACCTCTCTTGATCTAGAAGCCACACTTCAGGCTATGCAACCAAGGGTGGTGTTCGCCCTCTTGACCACCGCATGCTGACTCATGTTTAGCCTGCAGTCAACCAATACCCCGAGGTCCTTTCACAAGTGCTGCTCTCCAGCCACTTGTCACCTAACCTGTACTTATGACAGCTATTCCTATGCCCCAAGTGCAAGACCTTGCACTTATCCACATTGAACACCATCCTGTTGTCTCCTGCCCACTTCCACAGTTTGTCCAGATCCTTTTGGATCTGGAGTACCTGCTCAGTTGTGGCCACTGCTCCAGTTTTAGTGTCGTCTGCGAATTTGATCAGCAGACTGTTCACCCCTTCTTCCATGTCGTTAATGAAAAGATTAAACAGGATCGGCCCCAGGACAGAGCCCTGGGGGACCCCGCTTGTCACTGGCCGCCATCCCGATGATTCCCCGCTAATGGTTACCTTCTGCTTTCGGTCAGTCAACCATGCCCTAATCCACTGGACAGTGCTTTGGTGTATCCCAAAACTCTTCAGTTTCTCCACCAGGATATCATGGGGTACTTTGTCAAAGGCCCTGCTGAAATCCAGGTATACCACATTCACTGCATTCCCTCCATCTAGCCATCTCGAAACCTTGTCTTAGAATTCCACCAGGTTTGTCTGGCAGGACCTGTTTTTGCAGAAGCCGTGTTGTGTGGCTGTCAGCCTCCCTTCCCTATCTAGCATCACTAGATCTCTCTCTATTATGAGCCTTTCCATTGTTTTTCCTACAATGGACGTAAGGCTAACCGGTCTATAATTCCCCATGTCCTTTCTACTACCCTTTTTGAAAATTGGGACCACTGATGCCACCCTTCAGTCCTCTGGAACTTCACCTGTTCTCCACGAGGTCTCAAAAATGGAGGCCAGCGGGCGTGAGAGAACCCCTGCCAACTCTCTAAGTACTCTCGGGTGTAACCCGTCAGGGCCTGGCGCCTTTGTAATGTCCAATACCCTGAGGAGCCCCTTGACTTCAAGGGGAGTGACTCTAATCTGTGCCCCTAAGTCCCCAGCCTCATCTAATCTCCTATGCGGATATCCCCCGTCCTGCTTTGGGGAGAACACAGAGGCAAAATAGTCATTTAGCATCTGTGCCTGTTCTCTCATATCAGTCACTGGATCTCCTTCCTCCTTATTTAGTGGTCCCACCACTTGTCTCCCCTTCCTCTTCCTATTTACATGCTGAAAGAAGCCCTTTTTGTTGCTCGTAATCAGCCTTAGCCGCAATGGGCCTCTTCCCCCCAGTATACCCTTTTGTCTATTTCCCCAGTACCCATTTCCTACGGAGGTTCCTCTTTTGTCTAATCTGTCTAACCACCTCCTTTTGCATCCATGGCGGCACTCTCCTCCGCCTCCCCACCTTACTTACTAGAGGTACCGTCAAGGCTTGCGCCTCCAAAACCTCCCTTTTGAGTGCTATCCACCCCTCCTCAACTCACTTACCTTCCAGTAACCTATCCCAGGAGACTTTCCCCAGTCTGGCCTTCAATGGCCAAAGTTGGCCCTCTTGAAGTCCCAGCTTCTAGTGCTTGACCTGCTGCACGTCCCCAGTCCCCTGATCTCAAAGCAAAGGATGGAGTGATCACTCGCATCCAGAGGTCCGTAATCTGTATTTCATCTATCAACTCCTCCCCATTGGTCAAGACCAAGTCAAGGATGTTCCCCCCCCCCTCGTCGCCTCTCGGACCCTCTGTGTGAAAAACGCTCCCTCAGTAGCTTCTAGGAAGCGACGTGACCTGGCTGTCACCACCAAGTGAGTCTCCCAAGTAATATCCGGGAGATTGAAATCTCCCATAATTACTGTGTCTCTCCCCCGAGATATCCTTAGAATCTGGCCTGCCAGGACATCATCCAGGGTCTCAAGTTGACCTGGAAGGCGATAACATACCCCCACTGTCAGGTCTCTTTCCCTGTCAAAACCCCCAAGTTTCACCCACACTGCCTCTACCGAATCCCCATCTGTGCTGCATTCTATCTCACTGCAATTAAGGAGGATCTTGGTCATGAGGACAGGCATCACTGGATAATATGGCTCGCTCTGAAGTGCTGTGAAGAACTTCCATTTTAACGCTGCTTCCAGCTATGTGCAGAGAATCAAAAGATTAAATCCTGCCAGAATGTCTTGCTTCCACAAAGGCTTCAGACTTGTGCAGCAGAGCAAACACGATTCTGTAGGATGCGTTCTACTTTTAAAGATGCCAGCTTTCAGTGTGTGGCTGCATTTCTTAAAAGCACAACCCTCACTCACAGCGAGTACCTTCTGCAATCAGCTCAATGCATCATCCAGGGTGGAAGCAAGGGGCTTTTTTGTTTGCACAAGTGAGAGATAACTGGGAAGAGATCTGTTTGAATGAATACAAGCCTGGTGCAGCTGATGGCTCTTTTAAATGAATGGCATCCCCCCCACCCCCGAGACCCTTGTTCTGCTTAACGGATCGCTGTGCCACAGGCAAACTTGAATGAGTAGGCTGCATTCCGTGCAGTGACAGAAATCATTAGTAAAATTTGTGCTGGGAGGTGGGCAGAAAAACAGTGCTACGGCAGAGATGAGAGAAATGTGGCATTTCAGATGTTTCCTCTTTAAGCCTCTGGCCAGCTCAGGCCTTGGGGTTCACTGCAAGCCAAGTGCGGTTCCGGTTCCGGTGGAAGCGTCCCCAGGGCCCCCAGGCTGCCCTTTGGCTTTGGAAGCAAGATCGGCTAGGAAAGTAATCCCAGCTTCCTCTTTCCAAAGGTCAGAACCGCAGCGCAGTGGAAGGAAAGTTTGTGCATCCCAAACACTGACGGAAAGGTCAGATATGGAGAGCAAGGCTGACTCCGTGAACCAGAGGCCCTGCTTGGCTTGCGCGTGGCCCCGGCTTCACCCACTGCCACGTCCAGGAGAGAGGCCGGGCGGGAGGAAGGCGGGAGGAAGGCTTTTTCAGGCCGAGGCTTAAGGGAGCTGCTGCTTTGCTGAACCAGATGGGCCATGAGAGTGACCCAGGCTGAGGCAGATCCCGGGAGACGGGCCGCGGCTGGGAAATGAGGGTAGTCCCTGGCCCATTGGGCTGTGGGAGCGAGTCCTCTGGTCCAGCACCACAGCAGGCCCCAAGAGGCAGGCGAGCTGGCTGTGCGTGTGGCCAGCGGACTGCCTTCTGGTTGCCTGCAGCATTAGCAAATCTAGGAGGAGTGGTCCTCCTGGCAGCTGCCCAGCCAAAGCTCCTGTCATTTTAACTTTTGTCATGTTGACTTTTGCCTTTCTGCATAAGAAGGTGTGGCACAGCAGGCAGCCTGAATAAAACATAGCACGCCACGTAAGCAGCAGGAATGCTGTGACTCCCGCATCAGAGATCTCTAACGAAATGCAAGAAAGCAAGCCGGAGCGCTTCTGCACAAGGAGGTCCCGAGTGGCTGATGGCCCCTGCAGCAGGGCCACCGCCAAGAGCTGCCTGGCCGCCTTTGCACAGTGGACAACCAGGTGTCCCGCCGCCTGGCCTGCAGTGGAGACAGGAAGCCGGTGGCCCCAAGGCCTGCCCTCCGCCACCGCATGTCCAGCGATCCCGCTGCCCAAGCGCCTTCTTCCCCAGTCCCCCCTAAGGAAGCCGCCCTCGCCCGGGCTGGCGGCAGGAGCTCTCACAGGTGTGAGCGATGCGTCACTCCTTGCCCCTCTTCCCAGTCTGGCACCAGTCCACTGAATTGCCAGGCACCAGGTCGCGGTTTTAGAGGAGCATGGAACTGGCCACAAGCTCGGCCAGACATGTGTTTCGGCCTGGCAGAGTCCAGCTGAAATCGGCCGACTTGCCTCGGTCCGCTTAACCTTTCCCCTTGATTTCGGCACGGCTGGGTCTGAGGAAAGGCACCGCAAAGCGCCAGTGCTTTAAAGAGAGCGAGGAAGAGATGAACCACAACTTCCAGGGGGGCTGTTTAGAGAGAAGTTCTGAGGGGGGATGGAGTGCCTAATCCTTTCCCTTCCAGCTGCCCCCCCCCCCCCCCCCCCCCCCCCCCCCCCCCCGCCCCCCCCCCCCCCCCTCCCCCCCCCCAGGCTGGTGCCCTCCATGCTGACTTAGCACGCCATCCCAGTGATTAAAGTTCGCCTCCCCGTTTTCAGATCGGCTCTGTCCCACAAATGACCCCAGCCAAGATTTCGCTTTTATTTCTCCGCGGGTTAAACCAAATGGAGCAGCAGACTTTGCTCCCTTCACAAAGATTGTGCACACAACGTGTGTTGTCACCGCTGTGCCTTTGATTCAAAGGGTGCCCCCGGCGGAGGGAGGGAGCCCGCTGCGTCACCTCAGGCGACTGGCGAGGAGGCGAGGGAGCAGGGAAGCCCCCGAAGGCCGTTTATTGCTAGCAAGCTGCACCTCCTTCCGCGGAAATAAGCTTTCCGTCTCGGAGCTTAAACATCTCAGTGCCAGATTAGACCTGAATGGCTAAACCTGACAGCTCTTGGATACTAGCCAGCCAGGGGTCTCCACCGTTCTCGGTGCAGAACCCCTCCCAGCAAAGAAGAAGGTGGGGAGCGATTTCTGCCTTGTTAGGGCCAGGCCTGTCATCCCACCAACCGCAAGACTGTTTCCCTCGCAAAACTGGTGAGCCTTTCCCCTGCTGTGAATTACAGCGGCACGACACCGTATCCCAAATACTGGATCCAGTCCCGAGAGCGCTCACCTTTCTTCTTCCTGCCATTTGGATTCCCACGAGCAACAAGGCAAAAAAGGAAGAGCAGCGAGAGAACCAGGCAGCCCCTCATCGTCAGGCCTTTTCTCAGAAAAAGAGGAGGCTAATCCCAAGTGGCGCACGCACGAGGAGAGGAGGGGACCCTTTGGTCACCGATGCCTAGTGAGGACTAGCAGCATGTTAATAATTAACCTTCAAAATGGAACCCAGTGCCTTTTCCTCTGTGTGTTCCCCCCCAAAAAACCCCACCAGCTCAAACCAGTTACTCTAGAAGTTGCATTTTATACCCCAAATGGCATTGACGATTCTTTTTCACTCCATTCACACTCAAAATTAAGGTTGAGGGGTGTTTTCTTTTATGAAAAGCTGTTGAAGGTCCTCAGTAAATCAATCTGTTTTTGCTCACCTTGCTCTGAACATATTGCAAAATGGACCCAGGAACTGAAGGGCAATTTGTTTAGCATCTAGAGAGGAAGCTATGAAGGGACAGTGGGGAAACAACCGGTCCCATCTGGTGCACTGCTTGTCACAGTGGGAGAGACCCGAGCCAGCGGGAGGTAAAATTGCCTCCCTTGAGAGCCCCGGCTAGCTCAGCTCCTTGGCCTAAGCCTCAGGGGAGCACATTTTTCCGTGCATTTGCTGGGGGTAGGTAAAAGGTCTGTCTCCCCATCTTTATGTGGAATTCTTTCACTCTACTCTTTCCTTTATTGTAAGAAATTTATTTCAGTACTGGGAACTGTTTTTACTATCATATGAACACTTTCCACTGTTTTCTCCATTTTATGGATTTCTTGTAAGCCTCTCTGAGTTTATTTTGCAAAGAAACACATTGTAGACTACATCTTTCAAATCAATAAAACATAAAATTGATTATCAGTGGAAGGGCTGCAGAGGACTTGGAAGCCGCGGCTGGAAAGATATCCTTGGGAGAGGCTCAGCAAGAGGCGGAAGGATGCCTCCCCTCCGAGCGCTGCATCCCTCCGTGTCGTGTGATCTGGGGGCAGGAAAAGCCGAGGGCCCACCCCTCGCAGGGGGGCCTCCGGGCATGCCCTTCCTTCCCCGCCGCAGCCTCCTGCATTGGCCCAGGCCACACGGTGGCACGAGGAGGGGCAGGGGAGGCCACGACCACCCAGTTCTGGGCTCCCTGCCTGTTGTGCCGGCAAGCAGCCACGAGGCCATACAGGAGCAGTGGGCAGTGAGAAGGGGAGGCCGCTGGAGCTGGCCCCGGCCCCTGCAGACCAGGACACCTGTGTCTAGGGGCAGTTCGCACCTGGGTGGCAGCGTGGAGGAGGAAGAGGCAGACGTGGCAGACCGACACACGGCCCTGGTCCTGGCCTTGCTGTGCAGATGGATGGACTGGGATACAGCCCAGTGCGGCTCCCTCAAGCAGCCAGCAGGCCTCGCCCCCGCCCCAGCCTCGGTGGCTTCTTGCCAGCCTACCGCCGATAGCCTCCTCGGTGGCCCTTGCTGGTACAGGGCTCACGGGCCAGGAGCCGGCCGGACATTCTCTGGGACAGGATCCCAGTGGGACAAGGATGTCACCGCAGGCGGAGATCCCCCCGATTTTTGAGGCGTGGGCTGCCTGTGGCCTTTTCCAGCCAGCCTTCCTGGCTGCAGCCCCCGGAGGGGCTTGCCCACGGGATGGCAAGTCTGGAGCCAATCCAGCGGCCTGCAGCCATCCAAGACGGTTGAGCAAGCATCTCGAGGCTGGTCCCAAAGGGATTCCTGCAGTCGAAGAGCCTCTCTCCGCTTACTGGCACAGAGGAGCGTTCCCATTACAAGTGCCACACACCTCGCCCACCTCAGCGTTTGCTGCGTCACCCGCGGCAAGGAACCAGCACCGCAAAGAAGAACCGGAGCCCCTTGCTTGGGTGCGGATGCAAACACCCGTCCCCAAGTATTTGGTGCAGACATCAGGTGGAACCAATTAGTGGCATTTGTCTTCACACACACCGCCAAGCCGAGTGCTAAAGGTAGCACATTTGCTGGTGTTCTCAGGCATCGCTTGTGAGGCAGAGTCCCGGTTCGCTTCTCCCTGGAGATGGAGTTTGCATACATTATGGGCCTCTTTCTCTCATCTATTTTTTGCACCCGCCTCGTGGCTGTGAGAGCATGCGATCGCCAGAAGGGCTGTTCTTAATCAGGGCCTTCCATCTGCTTCCTGGCTAACATTCCAGTTAGCAGCAGACCAGCACATGCGGGGTGAGCTGGCTGGCTGGCTGGCTGCCTTGGCAGCAAGCAAAAAGCGCACGGCCAGAAGCAGTTGCTTGTCCTGCCTGGGGCACCCCTAAAATGCATCACAGTCGGTCCCTGTGAAAAGGGGCAGGTTGGGAAGCCAGCCGTTGCAGCCGCCTCCTTCCCTCTCAGGCAGCCGAACGCACGGCAACCGAGAATGGCTCTCCCGGCTGCAGATTTGGCGCTGGGGCAAACTCTGGCGAAAGGAGAACCGTGAAGGCTCGGGAAGAACTCCTGTCCAGTTGCTTGGAGGCCCCACTCACCTCCCTGCAGAGCTCGGAACCCTCCTGCCACGATGTTTTGTGGCACAGCACTGTAGCCACGAAGCGGCGTCTTTGCTCAGCCTGCAGACACGCGTGTGAACGCCAGCACGGCCTGTTAGGCGCAGCTCCATTTTGGGATTCTGTTCCAAATCCTGGATGCACCATCGTAACAGGTATGTTGTCAGGAAACGTTCCCCTTGGAATTCGTAGATGGCAAGCATTTGAGGTGGGTGTTCTCCATGTATCGGTGACAACGTGGATGACTTCGCCCGGCAGTTTCGCGTATATCTTAAATAGCACAGGAGGCAAGAGGGAGCCCTTTGCGACCCCATCATCCAAAGCCCAGGGGGCGGGAGAGAAGACCCGCATCTTCTCGGATGGATCTTCCCGGAAGGACTGCATATGGATGTAGGAAAAAAGCATTTCAGTCCATTTTTAACAGGTTTTGCCCAGTTCATACCTTCCAGGGAAAACACAGGCTTGAATGCAGTCGACAGTCAAAGTTCATCTATTAATGTTTTATGACACCCCCCCGCTCCACCCCAAAAGCAATCAGCAGCATGCGTGTGTTTGTGGGGGGGGGTACATTGGAAAAATGTGCATAAATACATAGTAATCAATGGGAGAAAAATGAGTACCTTTCAAAGATGTGCCCAATTGATGTGTATGCTTGGAAAATATGCATGAAAATACACAGAGATTTTCATGTAAAAATGAAAAACACCACAATCTGATATGGACCCTACTCGGAAAGAGTTGCAGGATGGAATTCGGAAAACTTTGGCAAGCGCGGGCTTTCCTGATTTATTTATTTATTTAGAAAATTTCTATGCCGCCCCATTCGCCGAAGCCTCGGGGTGGCTCACAAACATAAGTAAACTTCGTTAAAATGATATAAATTAATTTATATTAATTTATATTATTTTAACAAAGATTTGCACATCCTCACGTCCAAGCTGCTATGACACTTGCCCCCTGCCCAGAAGGACCTGGGAGGAAGGAGCTGAAAGACTCGGGGCACCCAAGAGAAGCTGCGGGGCTGCTCCCCACTCCCAGTGACCAGTCCTGGCTGGGTCAGGCACGCCCGCCTCTGACCCACTTCCAGGCTGAGAACTGGATGGGAACGGGTGCCCATCATCAGCCTCCTTCAAAGTCACCTTTTCCAGGGAAGGTGGCTGAACCTGCCCCGGCTGGAGGATTCTGGGAGTTGTCGTCTAACCCCTGTGGAGACTGGCTGTTTGAGGAAAGTTTGCTTGGAGGGTCCGACATGGCGAGGGAGACGTAGGACCTGAGAGAGAAGCCAGACGCCAGAACGGAAGCCGTCTCCGAAAGATGCAGCCACCTGCGTCTCCAATGGAAGGCTTGGACACGGAGCGTCCAGCAGCCAATCCATTCCTCAGCAGGCTGAGGGAGAAGGTGGAAGGTGATAAAAAGAAACCAGGAGGGCCTGGCAGCCCAGGGCCACTGCCGAGGCTCGGGGGGTGGCCACGGAGCCACAGGGGATGCCACAGGTGGAAAAGCAAAGCAAAGCAAGGCACCTGCTGGATTCCAGCAGGTGAGGAGAACATCTGCTTCAGGACAGGATGGATGGTTCTGACAGCCAACGCAAGCCAGGCAGGGTGTGCTGTCGAGGCGGCTTCTTGGAGAGACAGGCTTTTTCAGGAGGAATGAGAGATGGTGCCAGGGGGACCTCTCAAAAGGCGCTCGCCTCTGAGGAGCACTCGGATGGGGAGCGTGCGGCAGGAAACGTTGAAGAGAGCGGAACCCACACCTCATGACAAAGGGGGCAGTCTTTAGGCAAAGCACATGTGGAAAGAGGCGCTCCGGGTGGCCCAGGAATCAGGCGCCAAGCGGGAAAGGGGCTAGGACAAAAAGCAGGGGGGGCTCCCAAGGGGCAGGTGGCCATTTTGTTTTGAAGCCTCAGCAGGACAGTGTGGGAGTCAAAGCTGCCCCATTTGGGTACTTTGCAGCTAAAAACAGAAAAGCAGGCATTCTGGGCCCAGATCGCCATTCCGCGATCCAGTGGAATTTGCACACTTTCAGCACAGTAACTGACTCTGTTCTGCCTGGCACAGGAAGAGGAAGGGGCTTGCCAGTGGTACAGATCCTGCTGCAGCCACGGAGGATCCATGCAGCCCTTTGCTTACGCTCCCCATCGCAACCTTGCAGGCTGGAAAGTAGTTCTTAGCGCTCCTGGTTGGGGGGAAAGCCTTTTTGAGAAGGCTGCCTAAGAAATTTCATAAGTAGTGATAGAATACAAAGCTAATGTAAACCGCTGCACAGCAACTCCAGCTTTCCTTGCGAAAGCACCATTCACAAGTATGGTTGGGGCAGATTCCCTTCCTCCTGCCAGCATTTCACAGCTCCTCGCAAGCATCGCTTCGGGATGGACAGCTGGCCCAGCAGTAGCGCCTTCACCCCGCAGGTAAACAGGAGTCTTGTGGCCAGAGAAGAGCCACCCGGGAGGGCACGGTGCTTTCCATCCACCTCAGCAAGGAAGCAGAGCGTCCACGCGGTCGCGGGCTTTTGGAGGGCTCCGTCATGCGGCTATTCCAGTGACGCAGAGCTCGGGGGCTGCCCCAGCTGGAGCCGTCCAGGTGTCAGCACGAGCTCCCTTCTGGCGGCTCAGGTGAGCGAATCAGGCTGGCTCTTCGCTGCTCCTCTCCTGGTTTAACCAAGTGACTCCGATTGGCCCTTCGGCCCATGCAAAGAGCTAGCTCTGAAAACCTCCTGGGGGGCGGGCAGCCCCTTCTGTCCAAGCCCGAGCCAGAGCTGCTCAGGAACCTGTGCCCCATCCCCACTGCATTTGTGGCCATGCGGGCAGTGGTGGGTCCCTGGAGTCCAAGCACGAGTTCAGCCCGGCCTGGAGATGCCTGGATGAAAGCTGGACCTCCCGCATACAAGAGGGCTCTGCCACTGGGTCGCACGGACCTGGAAAAGCTGCACCTGTGGAATTCTTTGCCTGCCCGCCAGCTGCGTGACAAACCCAGGGCTCAGACTGGCAGCAGACTCGAAACTTAGGTTTTGCAAGGCACCAAAATGCACGCTGCCTTCGGGATTGTACCAGATAGTCGGGGAGGGCCATGGGAAGGCGCCTTGATAGGTTCCGATCGGCTCAGCTTGCACGGGCAGGCGGCACCGGGTTGTCGGCAGTGGCTGCCCGCGGTGGCTGATTCTCGCACGGCCCATCTTGGAGTGCCCCATGTGCCAAGCCACAACTCTTCTGCAGAGACTGGCAGGCAGCTGCCCCCCCTTGCCATGACGGGCCAGCTCTGTACTTCCGGCTTCTGCATTTTCCCTCTTCCCAGCTCCTCTGCTCCGAGACTTCCAGCTTCTGTGCACTCTCCAGCCCTCCACATCCCTTCACCCACCTGCTTTTCTTCATTTCTCCGGAATACAATCCTGAAGCGACTTCATTAATGAATCACGTCACCTGGCCAAGGAACATATTTCAGGAATAATGATCATGCTTGAACAAACCGGGGGGGAGGGGAGACGCACCTTGAGCCAAAGTGGGGGGGCGGGGGAGGGCAGAAGTCTAATTTCTTGTAAACCTTCAGAGGCCCTGAGGAGTGTCAGCCCGAGCAGGACATCTGCCCGGTGGTTGAAGGCTGTGGGGAGAAGGAACCAAATGGCTCCCATTATACTGTTGACTTGGGACTGCAAGCGTTCCCTTTTTGTTCCAGCAAAAGATGCCGTGAGAGCAGCGCAGCTGCCGCAGTAGGTTGGGCAGGACCCCCCCATGGGCCCCTCCCTCCATGGACCGGCCTTCCCGCCGCCACCAGCTGCCCTTGCCCCATCCTCTTCCTCGCCACCTGGGCCGCTTGTGTGAGAGGCAGCAAGCCCGGGAGAAAGCCGGCCTGGGGACTCCTGCCCCCCTTCCTCACCACCTCCAGCCGTCAGTGGCCATGGGGGGAAGGGGGTCAGGTGCCAAGCCTCTGGCGAGGGGGCCCCACCGGGGTGGGGGCCCTCCGCACCCCCCAGCCACGTCCAGACTCGGCACTGGCCCTGTCACCAGCGCATTTTCAGCCAGTCGGAGCGGACACAAGGATGGTTGCCCCAAATGGGAGTATTTGCAGTCCCCTGGCGAGGTGAGGCTCTACCCATTCCCTTGGCAGGCAGGCTGAGGCAGAGATGCAGCCTTCTCGCTCTGGCCCCTGGACTGGGACCCGCATTAGGTCTGGAGCCGACGAAACCATGGAGGCGGGAGTTGGGGGCGAATCTCTTCTGTGGGCCTTGTTGTTGGATGCATGACGTCCCAGCGCCCATCCAGCCCCCCTCCTTGTGGATTAGCGTGAGCCTCGTTCTCTCCGCTTTCTTTTATCGCATTTCTGCGCCTCCCTGTAGCCAAGGTTCTTCCTGCATGGATTCCATGGCAGTGTATCCCTGGCATCGCAGGTTCTCTTCCTCGCACCGGCCTCCTTTTCCCTTCGTTGATTTACCATTTTTCAAACGCACGGAGAGTTTAAGCTTGAATCCCACGCACAGCTGCATCCAGGCGGTTACTTACCGTTCAAAGAAAAAATAGCGCAGACTTGAGGCTTGGCAAGCGGGACTTCTGCGCACGCTGTGTGCAGGATCCGTGCCAGGTTCTGGGCAGGAGAAAACACAGAAGGTCGGAAGCACATTTCCACTGGGCGAGAAGCACAAGATGCAGCCTCCCTGAAGCTGGGCTGCATCTCCCATCATTCCCAGCCAGCAGGGCCACGGGCCAGTTGCCAATGCTCCTAGAAGGCACCAGGCTGTGTACTGACAGTGTCTGGGGCCAATCGAATTTCTTTCATTTGAAAACTCTGTGCAGGCGGATTTGTTGAAGTTGCAAATTTGGAGCAGTCAGAGGTGCTCTCGCCAAGCTGGGCCCAATGGGGACATTTCCGATACTGCTTTCTGTACAGCAAAACCCGCAGTCCTTGAGAGGGGAAGAGTTCCTTTCACTGCGGGGGTGGGACTCGTATCCGGCCGAGCTTTTCCATGAATCCCCTGGAATGCAGAGCTCACCAGCTGCAAGCGGTTCCATTTTCTCCGCACCTCACTTCTGTTGGCCCATGCTGTGCTCCCCAGTGGTGGATCTCAAGCCAAGCGCAAGAACAGCCTCTTAGAAATTATCGAGTGGTTAATTAGCTATTCATCTGTGACTCAGGTAGATTACTCGTGGATGCATGACAGAGCCAATGTGGGATCGTGCGCCGAAAGAGCGTTCTCGCTCGCCAGACCCTCCCCGTGTCCTTGAGGACCCCTGAGGCACACCAGGCTGGCATCAGTCTTTTGGGCAAAAGGACAGGCCGCCATGCAGGCCTTGGGCAGCCTGTGCAGGACGTCCTTCAGACGCCTGAGTAGCCCTGAACAGGCGCAGCCAGGGAGACAGGCTCATTGGAGGCCAGGTGAAGGACGGCAAGGTGGTCTCCCAGCCGGAGAGGGCACGGTGGGCGCCCGAGACGGAGCAGATCCGAAGCGCTCCCCCAGCCTCAGTTCGGTGGCCATCGTCCAGCCCACCGCCGAGCCAGGGGCACCCGTTCCATGGCCTCACTTGCATCTCACCAGGGAGAGGGAGGGTCCGCGGTGGGCCTCATGGCATCCTGCTGGCACATCCCCCCAGACCCTTGACCGGGGATTCCAGGGTGCCTTGCCCTGGAGGAACCTCCCCTGCCTTCTTCATCCTCCTCCGAGGATTTGGGCTCCTCTTAGTTTCCCGGCCCCGCAGCTTTGACGTATCCCTGTGCTGGCTGAGGGAGAGCCCTTCCCTTCTTCACCCACAGCGTTACTCATGGCTCTGCTGCCCATTGCGCTCATTCCCTCTCAGCCTGGGCCAGTACTTGGTGCTGTCAGCCACAGAACCCTTCAGCAGGCCACCGGGGCCGAGCGCTGCAGGCGCTGCCCTGCTGTGGTTCCTTGGATCCTGGAGGCCCCCCTGGAGCTCTGTTCCAGCCCCCCTTGCTTCAGGAAGCATGAATTGCGAGCTTCGAAGCATGTGCTGTCCACACGGAGAACAGGGCATTCCAATTCCTGTGCGTGTCTGGAGTGCGTCGACTTCTGCTTCTCTTCGGAGGAACTGTGATGACACCCGTGGGCGGCACCATCAGCTTTCCTCCAGCTACGAGTTTACATTAAGTCCGTGTTCAGCGGAAAGGCTGTGCAGAACCGACCCATCAGCACTGGGTGCCTCCCCTGGGGCCCCACAGCAGGGCTGCGAAGTGCAGTCTGCTCTTGAGTGTTTGCAAAATGTGCATACACAGAAAAACAAGCCTCCGATTAAAGGACACCTTTCATCTGCGATTACGCCGATGAATTCATTGCTTTCCGAGGAAGCAGCAAATCCATTCGGGGCGCCGCTGCTGCAGGATTTGACGCAGAAAGGGCTGTTTGCCTTCTGAGCCGCTTGTCTTCGGAGCAAAGAATAGCAGTGCCGCTCCGAGGCCAGTTAATTGGTGCTCGCCGCCCGGGAGCAGCTTCACCGCACGGCTGGAAGGCACTGAGTCACCCCGGTCCCTTCTGGCTTGCTGGACGGGTTTGCCCTCTTCCCGCTCAGCACCTGCTTTTGTCCGTGGTGTGGAGGAAGGCAGCCTCAGCCCACTGCTTGAAGCACGGGACACGGCAGCGTCTCGTCTGCCCCTTTCAAACGGCCCCCACGCACCCGCAACACACAGAGAGTTCCTGCCCTGGAGGCAGAAGCCCCCCACCACCATTCAGTCCCTGCATCTCCTTGTGGGGCAGGGGCCTGAAAACCTGCAGAGCTGCCCCCGACCTGCAGAGAGTGGTGCCGGGCGAGAGGGGCCTGTGGGTCAAGCTTTCTGTCCCCAGATGGTGCTTGGGGGCAAGAGGGCAGCAGGGCCTGGCCCCACACACAGACTCCGACTCGGGGAGCACCGTCCGCTGTGGAGCCGAGCAGAGCGGAGCAGGTGTTGCTCTGCAATCAGCTCAGCTGCATGCAGCACATTTTTAATGGACTAAATGGCCATCTTGTCCAACTGGGCAGCACGCTGAACTTTTTTGTGCAAAAGCTTTAGCATGTAAAGACGGCAGTTCTGTCTGCTGCCTTAGGAGGAAAACTGCTCCCCTAGGATAGCCCTGCTGGGTCCGAGACGCACAGGCCACCCCAGACCGAAGCAAGAAAGGACATTTCTCCTTGAAAAAGCCTCCTTTTGCAAGGCACCCTTGTAGGCAGAACCAGTCCATTAAATATCATCTGACCGATAAACTTGTGTGGTTGATTTGGTGAAATCAAGCAAGAGATGGCTTATGGGCATTCCTTGTAATTTTAATAGGACCATCCAGGGATGGCGATCGTCCGGACTCATCCCTTCAGCCCCTTCGCACACCGAAGGTGGCGTGGCACTGGTGCGTCCGTGCGCCACCGTTCCAGACGTGCACACGCGTGGACACAGCCTCGGGCGAAGGACCCTTTGAAACGGAGCAGTGGCAGATGGTTTCTCCTGGATGTGTGCAGTATCCCTGGCCAGGGCTATTGCTCTCCATTTCCAGCCACGTATGACTGTTAATATATTTCAGCAGCAATTAGAAGGTGTTGATGGAAGGCTTCAGAGCACCACGGCAAGAGGAGTGTGGGAAACCAGCCGCCCCTTTAGGCTCCAGCTCTTTTTTTTTTTTTTTTGAAGTAAGTTTTATTGTTATTTTTCTACTAACAAAAAGAAACTAAAAATCATCAATCATCAAAAGCATCAGACCCACTGGGTCAGCCCCCCGCTGTACTTTTTTTATATATATAGTAATCCATAAACATACAAGTCTATGCATAGTCCCGTTCCTCTAGCCAATAATAAAAGGCATTCCAAGTTTGATAGAAGTCTGTATCCGCTTTCTCTTTCAGAGACAAAGTCAATCTGTCCATTTCAGCACAGACCAAAATCTTTTTTAAAATCAATTCATCGGTAGGTGGTTCTTCACTCCTCCGAGCTCAGGATCTCTCATGGGGAAAGTGCAGCAGTGCTGTGGATTCTGGTGCCTGGCTCAGGCGAAAATCATGAACGGGAAGCGTGTGTGGCAGAACTAAATACCCCCAGCAGTTCAGTCCAGAGAAGGCTCACGGGAGCCACGCAGGACTCAACTTCGAAGCGTGGCTGGCTAGCGTCGTTGGGACTGGAGCCCCTGCGGACAAGAGCGCCTTCTCTTCCAAGGGTCATTCAAGCGGGACAAACCAGTAGCCTCTGGGAGAAACGTGGCATCGTTTCCTGGTGGCACTAACCAGCTGTGTCAACCTGGCGAGTGCATTGATTATGCTTGGCCCTCGGCCTAGAAGGAAAATGACTTGAAAGCTGTTCTCGCACGCTGGGGAGCGCTTCCCACTGACACTTCCTTCTGAGCAGGCATCGGAAGGGTCATGCTGCTACCGTGCGTGTGAACCTGTGCGAGGTGAGACTTTTCCCGGTGCCTCTTTGCGACGCTCCGCATAAGTGTGTGAAAACACCTGCTGTTTGAACAGGCCAGCAGTCTCTGCCCGCCCCCAGCTTAGCTTCTGAGGGTCTCTTCCAACACCCAGTTGCCAGCACGGCCCTTCCTGTGGCGAGACGGAGGGCCGAAGGCAAGTCAGGCTTGGACTTGGATTATGTGCAGAGCCCGGCCCGGTGAAGCCGCAGGAAGGCGGTTGCCAGGGGGAGCACAGCCGCAGTGGAAGCTCGGAGGCTTTCCAAGCACCCCAATTAGAGGGGGAAATCCATCAGAAATTCCAGTGATCGATGAGGACAGCTGGGCCCCTCCTCATTCCACTGACCTCTGAAGCGGAACCAATGCCAGTTATTAATAATTTCATTAAAATGACAGCATATTATTTTCCCTGTACCATCCAGAACTGTAAACATTAATTTAACACAGCCAGGAATCATGAAATGCAATCTTAATTACAGAGACACTGGGATAGCCAGCTAAACTGAATCTGGCAGGCAATTAACTGTTCTTCCTCTCTGCTTTTAAAAGGAGCATTCTGCATTAAGTGTGGAAATAAATAATGGACTGGAAAAGGGGGTGTGTGTGTGGAGAAATCCTGACCATTCCATGGCATGGTCAAGGAATCTCCAAAGTGATGTGTTTTGCTGCCAGAGGAGGAGAAGTCGAGCGGTGCCCCCTTTCCCACTGGTCACACGGGGGGCAGGAAGTCGCCCCACTCCCGCTGCTTTGGTGCAGGGACTGGCAGGAGGAGGGCGCTCCAGGACACCGCATGTGCTTGTCCGTGTGGCTTGCGCCCACGGAAGGAAAGCTCCTCCTGAGCAGTGGGGAAGATGGGCCAGGTCCACATTCCCTGCTTCTTGGCAAGCAAAGCGTCCCTGGATTCCTCTCCAGTCCTGTAGGAACAGGATAGTAAGAACCGACCAATCGGGTGGAACCCAAATTGTCAGATTTCTAGGGACGCGCCTTTGCATGAAAAAGAGCTTCTGCCTTCTCCCCCGATTAATTGGCTGCGTTTGGAGTGTGAGCCCAGAGCCAAACCTGCTTGAGACTGAGTACGGGGGCGGGGGGTGGACTGAGGCAGCGAAGCTTTTGGAAGCCCGTCAGGAGGCCTGTGAAAAAGACACTCCCTACGGATGAGGGACATGCGGCTGACTCTGGCCTAAAGGGGCACGTGGCTGGTGCAGGATGCGGGCATTGTGCCATGGGCAGGCGGGCTCGGCCGGCTGGCTTGGCTGCAGTCCTCCTTGCTTGCCCAGCTCAAGAGAGGGCGGATGTGGGAACGGGCTTGGAGCAGGAATCTGTTTCCTGCCAGGCAAGAGGCGTGCCCACCTGTTCCAGAAGGCCGCTTCCTTGGGCTCCCTTCTCCCATCCCTCCCCTCCAGGCTCCGGAACCCCCTTGCGCCTTTCCCGGTGCCCCCCCCCGAGGGGCCACGGCAGTGAGAGCCACGAGGCACAGCAGCATCCAGGCCATCCAATGGGCAGGAGAGCTTGGCCAGGGCTGGACTTTGCGGCTCTGCTCATTAAGCTGCAGGCCTGTTCTTGGTTTGGCTCCTTTCACGATCCTTCTCTCATTGTAAAGTTGGTGGTTCTCCTGAGTATTTAAGCTGCTTTAACTACCTGTACGTAACCCCTCCCCGTTTTTCTCTGCTTTGGTGGCTATAATGCCAGGTTTGGAGGGGAGGGCCTCTGGGTGGGTCTTGGCTGCTCTCGCCTCTTTTCTACAAGAATGCTGCAAATCTCTTTTGTTAAAACAACAACAACAACAACAACAACAACAACAACAACAACAACAACAATAATAGCAGCAGCCCACTGTTCCTTGCTCTCCAGGCTAAGCCTGGTCCTAGGTGCCTGCTGTCTTTGTAGCTCCTAGTTCTGAATGCCCCCAGAGGATGAAGTCTCCTGATAGCATTGAGCAGGAGGGGAGGTCCTTGGGGGGCTGAGCTGCTCTCTGCTGGTGGACCCCTGAGCTGAACGAGTGAATGATGCCAGCCCTGGCCTTCCCTGCCTGGGCTGGGCCTCATCTTGTGGTTCGTCCACACCTTGGGCTTGTGCTTCCATACCCTGCCCCTGTTATTTTTTGGTTCCACTGGGTGCCTGCTGGAGAGTGGAGAAGGGAATGATTAGCCTGGAAGCAGGGGCAGGGGAGAAGCTGCTCTGGATGGCAAGCAGGCGAGCAAGCACGAAAGCCAAAAGAAAGCGTTCTTCCCAGTGTCACAAATACACTGAGCTCCGACCTGCAGCCCTCAGTCTGAGCTGAAGAAGCAAGGCGTGCCTGCGTGAGACATCCTGGCATTGACCTCTTCTGCAAAGCTGCATGGGGGGGGGGGGGAGCCTGCACTTCACAGCAGGCGCCTGCGCTCCCCCCACACCCACCCTCACACGTCCTGCGACGCCCACCCAAGCGATGGCTCCCGCGCTCCCGCACAGCAGAAGATGAGAGCCGGCCGAGGGACGTTCCCTGGCAAGCCGAGCCTGCCGCCCAGAAGATAATTTTCTCTTTGCGTCGGATTGCTTTGGGGGAGTAATTAATTCACAGGCAAATGTGATTCTCTCACTGGCTGCTGCAAAGTGCGCTTCAACTGGAGTGACATCTGTGACGTAACGCAGCACTGAATTTCGGGGGCTGGAGCAAAACGCAGATGCAGCGAGCAGGAAAGCAAACAGAACCGCTGGTCCGGGGAGTTGCCCCCTCTCTTTTAAGGATGGTCTTCGGAGACCTGCTGGGGCAGGGTGGCCAGATGTTTGGGGTGCCAGCTGCCACAGGTGCCTGTCAATGTGACCAATGTGCAGGCGTGCTGGCAGGTGGTGTCCAAAACACCTGGGGATCGACCCTCCGTGCACCCCATTCATGGGCACGTGCCTCGCCCTGGGCATCCACCTGCCCTCCCTCACCCAGGTGACGCGCACCCTCCGCGAGGCCCTGTGCAGTGAGGGCCGGGACCAGTGCAGAGGTGGTTGCACCTGCGCGGTTTCTCCATGCTTAGCAAAAACCTCCCTCAGGAGAGCCTTGGGGTCGCAGCAGCCCCCGTAGGCCAGCGTTCTTTTTGCGGGCGGGCGCTGCGCCTGGCTGCACTGTTTTATGGGCCCGTGCAGCGGGGGAAACAGGGAGGGCCCTCGCGGCCTCCGTGATACGCCAGCGCACTCCCCAGAAGCATCCCCTGGGCCTGGTTGAATGGCCCAGGGTCCGTGCCAGCCGTTCCCAGGTTTTAGCAGTGGCATTTTGGGTTGTCCAGGTGGGCAATTCCCCAGACAGGTGGCCCCAGTGGCCTGCTCGCTCTGCAGGAGGTGGGAGCCCTTCCCCAGCCCAGGCCGACCGGGCTGCCTGCACGGAAGCTGCATGGGGCAGGCGCCGAGAGCGTCAAGGCCATCTGCCGATGTCACAAAGCAGGCCTCCCCACGCTGTGCACAACGCAAAGCAAACAAGGCGGCAAGCAGGCGTACCTTTGACTTCTCAAACACAGCCAGGTTGGGCCTGCAATCCGGCGTGGCCTGGTCAGAGGGGCCCTGGCAGAGATTCAGCGTTCCCAGCTCCCCGCGGGCACGCGCCTCGCCCTCCGCGTCACCTGGGGAGGAACAAGAGGGGCCGGGGCCTGCTCGACCTGGGGCGGGCGGCCAGCCCAGGATGGAGCAGGTGCTTGGGGGCTTCCTGCCCCTGTGCTGTGCCCGGCCGGCCGAAGGTGCGGAAAGCACATCGCCGAGTGAGGCTGTCTCAGCGACCAGTGGGGATTGGAAGCGGCCCCCACCGGTTTGAGGCATAGCGGCGGTGGATGTGGGGAGGGCCCTGCGGCGCCTCCGGCAGAGAGGAGCGTGGCGGCCAGAGGCCTTGGGGCCGGTCAGAGCAGAGTGTTCTCCCAGGCTTTGTGCCATCTCTTACCTGCCTCGGCAAAAGCTTTCCCTGCCTGGCGATAGTAGAATCCCGCCATGTTGTGGTTCTTCAGCTGATGGTGAGCAGCGGCCAGATTGTAGAGGCACTGAGCCTGAGCAGCCCCTTGGCTGCCGCCCAGCGCACCTGAGGCAAAGTCCAGCATGAATCTCGGCAACAGGAATTGGGGCATGCTGCCCCCCCCCCCCGCCCCCCGGCTGGTGCTCGAGGAAACTGCTTCTGAAGGGGGAGCCTCCCCAAAGCATCGCAGGCAGGAAGGGGGCGGGCGTCAAGCGCTCCTGCTGGTCTCCTGCCAGGGCAGGGTGCCCTCCGTGGCCGCGCTCACACCCCATGCTCTGCGCCAAAGAAAGTGGCGTCCCGCAGTTTGTAGACATTATGGCATCGGGCGGCAGCTCTCGTATTTTGCGTAACGCCGTTTTTTGCTTCGCTGATGTTTGGCAGCATCGCTTGGCTCTTTGCTGCAGAAGCCTCTTGAGTTAGGCCAGTCTTGCCTCCAGCTGGTGGGAGGTGAACAACCCGCTTCTCCCCCGCAACTGGCTTTGAAGTTTGGGAGGGGGAAGTGAATCAGAAGGGAACGAACGGGAGCCGGGCTGGCAGCCGGCCTCAGCCTCCAGCACCACCCAGACCCTGTCGGCGGCTTCTCCCCACCTCTTCCCTCTACACCCGCTCAGGCCACCTTCGTGTGCAGTGGAGCTGCACCTGTGGGTGCGAAGGCCAGGTGTCCCCGGCCTGCACCTGCTGTGCCAGCAGACCTTTGCCTTCACGGTGCCCCGGGACCTGCTCTTGCTCAGCCAGCACACGGCCTGGGCAGCAGGCAAGTGGGGCCCGAGCCCCACGAGGCATAAGCTCCCACCCCCCAGGCAGATGAAGGGGCTCCGGCAGACAAAGCCGGGCCAAGCAGGCAGCTGCAGCTGGGTGGGCAGGGGAAGAGCAGCTGGGCGGCTGAGCAAGGCCTGTTGGCGCCACCACCGGGGAGAGGGGCGGGGCCCGTGGGGCACTTGCTGGCCCCCCAGCGCAGAGCCCCTCGGGGAGAAGCTCCCGGGAGCCGCGGGGGGAGGCTCACCGTACAGGTCGGCCGCCTCACAGTGGTACCGCAGCGACTGGGCGTAGTGCCCGAGGGCGTTGCTGGCGGCCCCCAGGTTCTGCAGCGCGACGGCCCTCCGCTGAGCCGACAGCCTTCCCTGCGGGGGGCCGCAGAGCTCCAGAGCTTCCGCAAAGTGCTGCCCCGCCTGCTCGAAGCGCCCCAGCTCCGCATAGTGCAGCCCCAGGTCGTTGTGCAGCTTCCCTGCAGGGAGGGTGCGAGAGAGCGGGGTGAGCAGCTGGGAGGCGGGGAGGCAGGAAGGGCGGGGGGGGGGCTCCAAGCTGTGCAGCGGTTCTTCAGGCCAGGTGGGGCATCCCCCCAGGACCGAAAGGACCCCGGCGGCTGGAAGCTGCTCGGAGGGGACCCTTTGAGGGACCACTCTGTGGAGAAGTCCCGCGTGGCCCTGTCCGGTGGGCAGGTGCCTGGGTGACCTTTTGCCCCCCCTTTTTTGCCCCCCGGTGGGCAGGTGCCTGGGTGACCTTTTGCCTGGGTGACCTTTTGCAATGCCAGCCCCGTCCTCCCAGAACGTGTCCTCGACGGTGGCTGCCGGGTGCAGGGGTGGAGCAGGGCCGCTCCGCCAGGTGTGCTGAGAGACCTGCCCCACCAGACCCTGGCTCCCTTGCATGGCCTAACCACCTCTGTGCAGCTTTCCAAATGGGCGCCCGGGTTTGCGAGTGTCCCTCTCCTCTCCCCTCCTCACTCTTTTTCCTTTTGTGCTGTCTCTCTTGGAGGGCATGTCCACAGGCAGGGACTGTCTTGGTTTAGGGCTCTTCATGAGCTGCACTGGGGACTGGGAAAGGCTCTGAGCCACAGGGCATCCCATCAGGAGCAGCCCCCCCATACTAGACGCCACATGGCCCCCAAGGTCTTTGGGACGGTTCTGGCCATCGGAGGGGACCAGACACAAGCGCAGGGAAGTGTTTTGGCGTACCGAGTAGGGCCAGATTGGTTATGCCAGCGCACAGCTGGCCACACGCCTCCAGAGCCTCCAGGGCGTCATCCGGGGGGTGCGTTCCGCTTCGGAGGAAGGCGTTTGCGGCCTCCCTCATAGCCATGGCGGCGTCTTCCGGGAGCCCCGCCGTTTGGTAGGCACGGCCAGCCAGGCAGAAAGCGCGTGCAGCCGACGCCGGGTCCCCCGTGCTCACCAGGCAGTAAGCCTGCTTGGTCAGGGCCTCGGCGGCACGTCGCGCTCGACGCGCGCCGTATTCGCAAGCGGCCTTTCCGTACAGCTCCCTGGCTTTGCTGTGGTTCCCCATGAGGTCGTAGGCAGCCGCGGCGTTGAAGCAGAAGTCGCCATCCTCCTCCTGGGCTCCTGCCCGCTTGGCCTTCCGCAGGCACCGGAGGCCTTTTTGGGCGTTGCCGGTGGCAATGTAGGCAGCCCCAAGGTTGAAGAGGCACGTGGCCTGGGCATGATTCTCCGGGCTGCTCCTGGAGAGCAGGTATGCCTTCTTGAACGCGGCCAGTGCCTCTGTGTCTTCATTGGCATTGAAAAGCCGTATCCCAGCCTTCAGCAGTTGTCGCATCTCCGTTTTGCAGGACCCCGTCTGGCTCCCAGGTGGGCCTTCCAGGGGGCAGGAGTCCAGAGAGGAGGCCATCCCTTCAGAAACGGTGAAGGAACGCTGCAAGGTCAAGCGTGGCGTCTTGTTTGCGCTCTAAAATGGAGCTTATTCGCGAGGGTCCTATATGCCTGTTCGAAACACTAGGCCTACTGCTTGCTGTGGAAATGCTTAAGGGGCATGTGGAAATATTGCTGTCATCAGCTGGGATTACGTTTCCCATTTCAGGTGCACCCGTGAGCAGGACATTAGGAGTACTAAAGAAAGCTGTTTAAGAACCAAATTCTATGCAAGGCAAGCTGCTTGGCCAGGAAGAGCCGAATCCTGCTCAAGGACTGCCATGCTTCCTTGTTAAAGGACCTGTCCTCCTTTCTCCAAGCATTTGTCTGCCCTCTCCTGCCAGAAACCTCGGCAGGCCAGTGGTGGCCCACTGCTTCTGGCCACAGCAGGTCCCCCGGAGACACAGGGTGTTGTCCACAGCCCTGTGCCCGGCTGGCCCCAGCCTCCAGCGCACAACCAGGGTGGGCACTCAGGCGGCCGGGCGCCAGGGATGGCTTCCCCCTTCCCCACTGTTGCTGCCCGGCAGATCGCTACTCCGCAGCCTTCTCCCAGCCGCCCTCCCAAACGGCTACACGCTGCACAGACGCGCATTTCGGTCTTTGCAAGCCGTCCGAGACTATTTGCCCTGCATGCCCGTCTCTGTTTGCTTCCATGCGCTCGCTCGCCACCTGCACCGCCTCGGCTCTGAAATGATTTCTGCTGAGACAGAAAGCGATTGTGAAGTTCTGTGTGTCTCCTGTCTCTTTCCGGAGAACATTACTGGGGAAAAGGCAAGCAAACCGCAAGAAAAGTGTGTGCGTTTGGGTGGAAGCCATTGGAGGGATGTGCAGATTTGGGTATAATATTAACTCCAGTTATCCTGGGAACTCATTAGTTCTTCATTAAATGTTTGCTATAAACACACATTTTGAGGGTTAATTATGTAATGAGCAGGAGAGTCTCATTTCCTGCAATCATGTTTGCAAACCCGTGTGGTTCTTGTACAAACAAGACTTTGACTTTGATTAAAAATCAATTGGTAGTGAGGAAAGGCCTGGAGAGGCACCGGCAGCCGGGTCTGCCCTCCAGGGAGGGGACTGGCCTATTGCCAGCCCTGGCAGGGGACCTCTGGAGCGGCCATGGGGGGGGGGGGGGCACAAGGCACACAGTCCAGGAGGGTGTCCGGAGCAGCCCCTCACTTACCGGTGCAAAGTCCTGGAAAGGGAAGAGCTGGATTTTTCAGGGAGCGGCCGCTGCCGGCAAACCCTCGGGGTGCTGCCTTCCTGCCAGAGCTCTGTGCAGGAAATGTTTGTGGAGACAGGCGAGCGTGGCAACGACACCGCGCGGCCTCTGCCAGGTTGCCACCCACACGAATCGGACTCCAAGCACAGCCACGGAGCCACGGAGCCATGTGGGCCGGCGTAGCTCACTGCCGAGCGAGGTTTTGCACGGGGCTGTGACTGGTGAGAGCAGAAACCCCTGACGGCAGCGGGACTCCACCTTCCCACAGACTAGCCGAGTGGCCCAGCAGAGGACTGCTCACGCCGATAGCTCCTGCCTGTTTGCATGGGGATTGTGGAAGGAAGTGCCTGGAGGGCGGCGCTGCGCAGCTGCCACTTGGTGGCCGTTGGGGGCAGCTGCCGTCACTCCCCCTCCAGCCCAGGTAAAGCCCCCTCTGAGCCTGGGGAGGCTCCCACCTTCCTGGGGGCCTCCTGACCAGCCTTGTGTGCTCCAGGCTGTTGCCTTTTCATGGGACCCCAGACCATGAGGGCCCTGGGCGAACAGCTTGTTTCCTTTCTCATGAATGGGTTTTCCGCCGCAAGAAAAAACATGGAAGGAATTACGGGAAATCAGAGGAAGGTTATGAGTGAACGATGATAGCATCTGGACCCCCCCAGAACCCCCCTCAGGAAGGACACAGAGACACTGGCCAGAACTGAAGGAGCTGCAAGCATCTCCACCCGCAAGGAGCTGCAGCTGTTCCAGGGGAAGTCCTGGCCTTAGGTTTGGTCTATTTTGATCTTACAGCATCTGGAAGTAGGATGCACCTTGGGGAAAGGGAGGGCATATTTAGATCTGAAAATTTCAGGGGGGCGGAGGGGGTGAAATGTGCGTTGCTTCCCTCTGAACAAGGCTGAGCATGTCCTGAGCGAATTGCACTCCCTGCTGGCAGCCTGGGCTCAAACAGATTACAGCAAAATTTGCAGGTACTGAGGTCCCCTGGAAAAGTGTGCGTGAACATTCTAGCATCGCTCGTGATAAGGATCCGGTTGTGCACATACGCCGCAAATCTGAGTGCAGGCACATCCCTGAGGACGCCCCCGCCCCCGTGTTTTCCTCCCCCAGGTTCAACTGCCACCCCAGGGATGGCTTCACCAGGGCTTGGACCAAAGCCCTTCTGCCGTGCGGGAACACAGAGGCCTGGCAGGACAACGGCAATTTTCCCCCGTGCTTTTTATCCCCAACATTCATTCATTTATTGGTATCCCACATCTGACGACAGAGTTCTCACTACGCTGCCACAGCTTCGCTCTAGCATCTTCCAAGAATTGTCTTGCTCTCCCCTTGGGTCCATTTTTGCGAGTGGCAATTGCACAGTTGTCGGTGCCTGGCCTAAAACACACCCAGCGGCCTGCAGGTTTTCCAATCCAGGTGTGCACCTTGAAGGAATAACAGCCCCTCCCCCCCAAAATGCAACCTTTTCCACAGGTGTCTTTACAAAAGACATTGTGCTGGCAATGAGTGTTTCCTCCCGCACTCTGGGACAATTAACTGCTCTGCCTGCAGTTGTTGATGCAGAGCTCTGCCCATTAGTGCTTAATTGGATAACAGTATTTAATTGGGTGCTTTGCTTTTAGTCTGGCTTGGAGGGGCAGAAGAGGGCAGAAGCTTGTCCTCAGCACCAGAAAGGTCTCCTGCCAGGGTGGTCTCTGGAGCGCAGTGCCCCTAATGTTGCAAGGAGAGTGGGCAGAGGGATTGGATTCTGCACTGGCCGTCTCAGGAGAACTCAGCTTGACTGAGTGAGGGGTGCTTGGGGCGGGGTGGGGCGGGGAGGGGAGGGGAGGGGAGGGGGCGTTTACCCCCTTTTTAAGGGAAAGGCTTTGCGTAGTCCCCCTGGAGTGGCTTCCCTTCCGCCATGTCCGCGAGCTCGTATTTGTCCAGCTGGGCATCCTCCCGGCGCGGCTGCCGAGCAGCATGGTGAAGTTCGATGAAGAGGATGTAGACGCCCGCCCCAAACGCTGCGCCCACCATCGGGCCGACCACAGGAACCCACCACCAGTTGCTGCCAGCCCTGTCGGCGAGAGGCAAAGGCAGGCGGCAGTTATGTTGTACTGGACCGTTGCCCCGCATTGCGGCAACTTGAACGCGGCAGCTGGCATGCCGGGACACCCTTCCCGTGCCAGTTGCAGATGCAGTCCTCTTCATTGGTGCACCGATGGGCACTGCCTGCCCACTCGGGACCCTTCTGCCTCGCCTCTCCTCCAGGAGCCACCAGGGTCCCTGCAGTTGATCCTCATGACAACCCTGCGGGGTAGGTGAGGCCGAGGGGCAGGGACCGGCCCGAGTCACACAGCGAGCGTCACGGCAAGCACGGACTGGAACCCACCTCTCTCGGACCGCTCTTGCCACGAGGCCGCAAAAACTGCCGTGAGATGTGGGTATGTTGGCAGCGCTAAAAGGAGAGGGAGAAGAGGGGGCACTCCCGTTTTGGGTCTTCTCAGGAGCTCTGCAAGATGTGGCCATTTTCTGCCTCCTTGCAAGGGCCCACCAGGTGTCGCCCTTGCAACGCTGTGGAGCCGCCTGTCTGGAGGATGCCCGCCTGCCGCTAGGCTCCTTGCGGGGCGCGGCGGGGCGGGGGGGGGGGCGGCATTGGAGCGGCCCCACTCGAGGGGTACCTGGCCAAATCGGGACCGGATCCTGCCCACCTGAGACTGGACCCCCTTCCCTGCTTTCCAGGGTGTTTCTGGGCTTGCTGCAAAGGACCGTCTTGGAGCCATTCTCATGACATCAGAACTCCTGGGACGAGCATGCCCCCTACCCCCCCCTCCGCTCCACGGCTCAGTTCTGCTGCCTCCCTCCTGTCGTGGGACGCTTCTGGGAGGGACAGACACCTCTTGCCCCTGCTGTGAAGCCACCAGCTGGCCTTGGGCAAGCTGCTCACTCTCAGCCTCCATTTCCCTCTCTGGCTTGCCCCACCCGCCGGTTTGCTGAAAGGTGTGTCACCACAGGTTGCATGCAAAAGCGCCAGGCCGGCCTGAGGCTCCTGTCGCAAAGCAAGGGCCAGAGAAGGGTTCTCTGGCTCAGGCACATCCGCCCGTCCGCTGCACCAGCCAACTCACGTGAAGACTTCGGTCCCCCATCCTGCCAGGTACGTGAAGATGCGTGGGGCCAGGTCCCTGGCGGGGTTCATGGCGCAGCCGCTGTTCATGGCCAGGGAGGAGCACAGGAGGATGATCAAGAGGCCGATGGCGATCGGCTCCAGGCCCTTCTGGACCCTCAGGTTGCCCTCGTCAAAGATGGCGAAGACGCCCAGGAGAAGGAAGGCGGTCGACATCACCTGGTGGTGCAGAGTGGATGCAGTCACCGGGCAGGCGCGAGCAGAGGAGTCCCGGCTGCTAGCGAGGGCCCTCCAGGGAGCACACCCCCCCCTGGCCTCCCAGCAGGGGCTTGGCCCCACACCGTCCTGGCTGGCTGCGGGTCCCACCAGCCTGTGGGCCAAGGAACGGAGCGGGCCACGTGCGCTCCTCGGGCAGCAGGACCCAGCCCGGCCCAGGCTGCCTGCAGCACAGGGACTCGAAAAACCTGCCCTGTGGTCCAGAAGAGGGGTTGGCAGCCTCTCGGGCCAGAGGGCCGTGACGTTCCTCTTTCTAGCCTCCCACTGTCCACAGCCTTCACTGTGCAATGCCAGCAAAGCCCCACGGGAGAGCGTGCTGGGCGCTGCTTACCTGGTCTGCAAACCCGTTCATCAGGGACAAATACTCTTCTGGGTACGTTGCGAAAATGTGTGCCGTGGCATTGGGTCCTGTGACCTGGAACTCGCCCCCGGTGAAGGCCATCAGCGCATCTGAGGACAACAGCATCTGCGTCGCACGCATGCGGTGCAACACGCCTTCTCGGCGAGCCTTGCGGCGGCCGGGCACACAGCAGACACAGGCCCATCGCAGGCAAGACGCACGGGACGGTCTTTCCCCGGGTAAGCAGCTGACTCTGCGATTTGCCGGGTCAGGCGCTCTTTTTCCTGACTTCCTGTCCCGTTTCCCCAGTCTAAATTAATCCCCTTTGCTTGTCTGTTCCACAAACAATGGTGCGAAAATTGTCTCCGCTTGTGCCCCGATCCGGAAGCCACTGTGGGCGGATATGTTTGGGCAGACCGCTCAGTGGAGGCTGCTGCCCTATGCCCATTACTGGGGAGGCAGGTACTTCTGGGATGTGCGTCTGTGCAAACGTGCACAGGGTCGGGCTATCAGCCACGAGCCACGAACAAACTTCTGAGCTCGCCCGACTGGGTGCCAGCAATTTCTTAAAAGCAGGTGGGAGGAGAGAAAAGCCCAGGGTCGCCTCCAGCCGAGGGCCCCGCTTTCCTGCAATCAGTGCAAAGTGAAATTAAAACATTGGTCCCACTTGACACATCATCTAACGCCGTGAGCCGCCCAGACAGTTCGGCTATTGGGTGGTAGAGAAATGAAATCAATAAATAATAATGCTTTGTTCCCCATAAAAGCCTCTCCCGTGGGCAGCCCTCCTGAATTGACCCATTAATTAGACAGCTCTTCGTCTCTTTACGCAGGAGGACGGGGAGAGCGGTCTAATTACTCATTTCCTTTTTGCAGCCAGAGGAATTGCCCATATTTTTAATGCTTTTGTTTCTTATAAACACTGTGCAAAAAAACTCCAAAATCAATTACTGCAAAGAGGAAGGCAGAAATTAGAGCGTTCACCTGCTGGTGGCAGGAAACGGGCCTGCCTGAGGACCCCCTGGGCCTGCCGCCAGCGCGGAGGGCAGCAGCAACTACCTGCAGGGGCAGGAGCCCCCTGAAAAGGGGCAAAGAGGACTCTGCCGTGCCAGGGACAGAGCCCCAGAAGCGTGGCTAGCTCTCTGGCGATGCACCTACATGCACACTCCTCTCCGCAAGCCAGTCCGGGATAGCACAGGTGCGTGCTGCGATTTCTCGGTAAAAACGGAGCAGTTTGGAGAACGGCCTGGAGTAAACCAGGATTGTGGGAACAGCCCCGAGGAGCAGATCTGCTGCTGCGGTGCACAAACAAGGGCCTTCCGCCTCGTCTCGCCGGCATCCTTTGCTCTCCCCATTGCATCCTGCTCCGTGCACATGTGGGGTGGGAGGGGAAGTTCTGGGCACCCACTCTGAGCAGGGGACTTGATGAGCCCAGAAGCCTGCTCCTTTTCGGGCACCTTTCCCTGGCCCCGAGAATGGCAACCCCCACTGTGGCTGTGTGCTGGTCTCCTCCCTCGTGCACCTGGCATTTTTTATCCCTTCAGAAGGCAAGGCTGCTGGGCTTCAGAAATGGTCGTGAAAGCAGCTGGGAGTGCCCATGAGAGTTTCAAGCTCCCTGAAGAGTCTCGCACTCTCTCCCAGCGACCAGCCCTTGCCTGCCGTTCCAGCGGGCAGCTCAAAGCCGGCTCGGTCCAGCAGGAAGTCGCTTGTGCGACAAGCCCTGTGGAAACAAAGCGGCACCCCTGCTTTGTGCTGAATTTCGCGGAAAGGGCTCCGTTTCAGTAAAGTCTTTTGTTCTGCTGAATCGTTTCCTGTGGAAAAACCCCGTTTCTTCTCCCACTCACCATAATTGACCCCGAAGACGGCGGCCGCACCCACAAAGGCACCGAGGCATTGAGCGAGGACGTACACGGGGAACTTGACCCAGTTCATCCTTCCGGTCAGGCACATGGCAAATGAAACGGCTGGGTTGACGTGGCCCCCTGAAAGAACACGGTGCGAGGGGCGGGTGAGAGGCACGGTCTGCCGGAGCGGGTGGGGAAGAGCTGGGCTCGTGCGCATGGCAGGTGCCCCGTGCCGAAGCAGGCTCCAGGTTTTGCGTGGGCCCCGGGCCAGGCCCCCCCAAGGCCCCCTCTCCAGCAAGCCCATCTTCTCACTCCCACCGGTGCCTGTTGCTCTCGTACTTCCTTTTGCCCTTCGCATGGGGGATCCCGGGTTGTGCCAGCTCCAGCTGCGGTGTGTGGGGGCCGGAAGGGGACAGCCAAAATGCCCCCGGCACACCGCACAGCAGCACGTTTGGGGGGAGTCCGGACTGCACCGTGCGGCCTGGCAAGCTCACTTTTCCGATTAGGGCAGCCTTCCCCAGCTGGGGGTTGTGCCCCACACATCGGGGTCCACCGGGAAGCGGAAGTGATGGGCCAGCCAGGCACGTGGCCTCCCACCTGTGGCCTTGCCACGCTCTGCTGGCCAGTTCTCCTTGATCATAACAAACTGGGGCTTTATTCCCCAACACGATCAAGGAGGATGGGCAGGCCCAATCCCAATACCCGCCGGAGGGCGATGCAGCGATCCGGCTTCGTGGGGCTGCCAGAGGTTCCCCTTCCCCATGGATCGTTGTGCCCAACGGGGGCGTTCTGTCGCATTCGGTCTGCGGCAGCGTTTCATTTTGCAGAATACTTGAGGGCAGGGGAATGGACGACTTCTGACTTTAATCAAATGTTTCAGATAACGGCGACCTTTGTCTGTCAAAGGGGAGCCGCGGAGAAAGGGGCCCTCTGAGCCCTGCCTGTTTGCTTGCACTGGGGGTCGGCCTGTTATCTCGGGCGCCCAGAGCACCTCCGAGGAGTTGAGCACCGGGCAGGACAGATAACCACGCGGGATAAAGGCCAGCTTTGTCTCCCCCCAGAATGGTGTGACCTGCGACGAGCAGCATGGAATTAATTCTGAACTTTGGGCCCCTTCTTTCAGATTCTCCATCACACCGCTCATTCTCTGCACCCCTGAAGGGGCTTGTCGCAGCTCCTTGTCTTTCGGGTTTCTTTTAATCCCATGCACAATTTTCTCCTCTTTCAGCAATTGCAAATATGCATTACATGTGGCAAGAAGGTGCCGCTACAGTTTGGACCAAAGGGTTCATCTTCACGAGCACAGATAATAAAGCTTTATTACTTGCTCGTGGTGGAGTGCAAAATAGGCACGGCAGCTTCTGTACATGGGGACCTGCCAGGCGTGGCCCTGGGTGACGGGAGGGGCTAAGCTGTGGTCAGAGCCCTCTCAGCACAGAGCAGGAATGCTTGGGGCTCGTCCTGCGCCCGAGCCTGCCCCAGATGCTCCTCCAAAGCGGAATTCCACCCATGGGCGGCAAGGGGTCCAGTCATGTGCAAAACAGCAGGGGGACGACTGGCGTGCACCCCGAGGGCCCGGCCCAGAGCCCACTGCTCCCCAGTGCCACCAGGGCTGGCGGCACTTGGGGGGGTGCGCAGCAGAATGCCACATGCATGTTGCAAGCTTCATGCCCCCGTCCTCCATCGACGGGTGCCTGGCACGCCTCCCGCAGGCTTGCTCTCTCCTGTTGGAGCCTGCTAAAAATACTGTGCGGCCAGATTGGTCTTGCAGCCACCTCTTGAGGAATAAAACTTTTGCTCTCTGGGTTTTTCAGCAGAGTCCCTTGGCAGCAGCTCCCGTCACGCACCGAGCAACAGCTGAGATTCATTTTGTCTCTGATAACGGTGCCGTGAAGGAACCCGGCCAAGTTACCCTTGCGAGATAGCAGTTGACTCCCACTCCTCTCTCTCGTGGGTCTCGATGGGGTTCAGCGTCAGTGAGGATCTCTGTCGTGGAAGCTCCCCTTGGCCCGTGAGCCATGTAGTACCTTTGTAAAAGGTGAGAATGTGACACAGCAGATGTTTCAAAAATGGCCAGTTTGACTATTGCTTGCCGTTCGGAAGCACCGTTCGGCATGCTGTCTCACTCTCCTGCTCTTCTTCCTCGCAAGCTGCTTGGAGGGTTCGGTGATTTCAAGTTAGGCTGGGGGAGGAGATATGCCTTGTCCCCATACGAGCACAAGCCCTATAAAAAAGCTGCCTTTTTGGATGAAATGCCCACTCAGTGTACAAGTCTTCAACTTACAAGGCGCACGGAAGCTCTTGGGCAAACGCATGCATGCCCACTATTTTCCGAAGTACTTTCGAGGAAAAGAATTCAAGTGATTTAAAATCTGCTGTCTTGTTCGTGGCACTTTTTAGCCAAAAGGTCAGACTAAATTGATGAATCAATGTGATGTTGCCGCTCTGCTCAAAATATTCTTCAAGGTTTTGCATGCATTTCTATTTTTGCTGCAATAGATGTCAGAGAAGCCCCCAAATATATGAAAAAGTAGTCTGTGTATTTTGAAACGCTGTGTCTTCCTTAGAAAAAGTAGGGTACAAAAGCCACCAAAATCCAAGTGGAAAAGGATCCAATGGTGAGTTTTCACAGTGAGTTTCATGTGAATTCGTGTGTCCCTGTGAATTTCTACGCTGCTCCATCATGTTTAGAACTTCTAACCTTGTGGAAAGTGCTTGTGGGGAAGGAGGCGGTTTCTTGGCCACTCAGCCGCCGGATATTCGTGGCTGGTCTTGCCCATCCCTCCAGGCACATAACGGGCTGGTAGCCAGGCCGAAGCCCATGCACTTGCATGAGCCCCAGCCGTGGCCAGAAGTCACTGATGGGGGAAGCCCAGCTCCTGCTGAAGAGGCGCCTGTCCAGCTGAGGACTAGGAAGATGGGAGGGCCTGAACGCCCCTGAAGCTGAGTTCAAGCTGATAATATGCCGTTACCAAATATGAAACAGAGCAGATTGGATGAATATTTCTTGCCAACAGAAGATAAGCTGGACTCTAGGGGTTTTGCAATTCCAGCCAGGAATTGTTTTGCCCCGCACAGCTCAGAAAACGATTAGCAAATACTTCCTAATTTTGAGGAGGAGGGTAAGCAAGTCCAGCAATCTTTCCTCTTCCAGCAGACGCCCAGAAGTTTTCAGGCAGGGAGCTGCTGGAAGAGCCATGTGTGTGGATCGGCCCAGGCCGTCCCGGCTGTTTCCCCGCCTGTACGTCACACGGTTGGGGAGCTGAACGGCTCGGCAGAGGAGCCAGCTTGGGCCGTGCGCGCCCTGGTGCCGAAGGGAGCGAAATACCAGGCCCAAGTCAGGGTCCCCACTGTTTTATGAAAGCTGGTGGATGGCAGCTCGCCTCCATGCAATTGGCTTAGCACTGAAATCATGCGATGCTGTTATTATTACATTCCACCCATATCCCATCTTTTTTCTCTTGTGAAGAACCCAAGGGGCTGACATAGCTCCATTTCATCCCCTGCATTTCAACAACCCTGCAAGGCTTTCTCTGCGGAGGCGCTCCACTTATGGAATGCGCTCCCCAGAGAGGTCCGCCTGGCACCGTCGTTAGTTGTTTCTCGACGCCAGGCCAAGACCTTTTTATTTAAACGATATTTTAATGATTGCTGATTTTATTTATTGGTTTTAAATTATTACGCAGGATGTTTCTAGAATTTATATGTATGTATTTGTATAGATATTTATTTATATGTTGGAAGCCGTCCCGAGGCTTATGCGAATGGGACGGCGTACAAAAATTCCGAATGAATGAATGATTGGTAGGCTGGGCTGAGCATCTGTGACTGGCCCAGAGTCTCCCAGCTGGCTCCATGGCTGCATGATTGGAACCCAGGTTGCCCAAGTCCCGGACCTGCACACACCCCACGGGCTCCCTCATTTACAGCTCTCGTGGGTTCCAGTCCCTGCTCAGCCACGGAGTCTGCTGGGTAACTTCAGGCCCGGCATGGACTCTCAGCCCAGCCTACCTCGCAGGGTTGCTGTTGTGGGGATAAGACTGAGAGCAGCAGTGCAAGCTGCTCTGAATTCATTGCAAGGAAAACGTGGAATATAAATCGAATGAACGAATGGTTATTTGGTATTATCTGGTAGAAGGCGTGGGGCTCCACGGGTAAGACATTTATAGATTTTTGTGCCACCCAAAAAAGGGGTCGAAAAGGGCTGCATTTTAGCTGCTGTTTTGTTTAGTTGTATGCTCACAATATTGTGGAGCAATTCACTCCTCCAGTGTATCACACCTTCACAAAAACTATTTCTGTTCAACTTATGCAGATGATACTGTATTTTTATACAGTCTAAAGTAGATGTAAGAAGACTGGGGGTGGGAGGGGGCATTTTTAATACTCTCCAAATGACTAGCTACTGGTGAATTGTAGAAAGACAAAAATGTTAGGTTTTCTGAACAAGATAGATTCCATCAACCTATTTGGATAAACAGTTAATTCAATTAAGACATAATCCGATGAGTCTTGAGATGGAAGAAAGGCCTTCTACTTCCAGCTAAGAGTTGTAGAAGCTTGGGTTTTTCGGTCTAAATCTTCACAGAAGTGCAGCCTAAGTCTAGAGTTTTTAAATCCTTGGGAGTGGTTTCTCAGCCATCAGAGTGCCGCTGGTTCAACGGGGCATATTGTGGAAATAGCTTTGTAGGACACGAAGATTAAAACGCATTTCTTTTACATGAAAGGTCACCATTTCTGTAACTTCTCTGCCTATGTTTTTAAGGTTGGGTTCAGGTCTGACCTGTTGCTGATTGGAATTACACCCTGACCTCTGGGGGCACCTTTGCTAGATCGCCCTGCGACACCCAGCGGCCCCCTGCTCTGCTCATGATCCCCCATTGCTTCGCAGCGCCCACACGGCCAGGGGGCTGCGGGCTCCTGGGCTGGGCGCAGCAAGCCCCACAGCTGCCCCTCAGGCGTGTTCCTGCAGCCGTGTTCTTTTCTGCCTGAGCTCTTTGATGCTGCTCTCCACCAGAAAGACTTTCCAAGCTGCTTCCCTGTAATGCTTTCAACAAGACAGTTTCATTATCCGTTTTCTTCTCAATTACTTCCAACTGTAACTCAGACTCTCGTTCAAGCGGGGCCTGTTAGAGCCATTCTTGTTCTTGTATCTCTCCTGGATAGCACACTTGCTCCAAACGCCTTTCTGAAATCACTTTTGCACGGGGCTCCCGTCACGACATCATACGGAGGGTTCTTTTCCAAGAAGTCGGCTGGTAGAAGGTTTACATTCTTCTTGGTACGTCGCTGGCTACCCAACTGTCCCAGTTCTGCTTGCTGGGCATTTTTTCCCATTGTGTATGTTAAGGTCTATGTTACTGTTGAGACTCCTGCTCTCTCTCTTCTAAAACCACCGCACTTCGCACTGGCCCTTTGTCCATGCTCTAGCAAGCACCCCCGATTCAGAGGGCACTCGCCAGGAATCGGAATTTGGGCACATGCCAGGGGCTCTGGGAACTGCGCCCACCGCAGCCCTCTTGTAGTGTGCCTCTTCTGACGGGGAAGGTTCCTGGTTGCACGACTGGAGCTCCACAAGCACACACAGAGTTCCTTTGGGCTCACTTTGCAGGTCCAGCCGGGAGAGGAAGGGTACAGGTGCAAGACGGACGGATTCCGGAAGGGCCCTTCCCACCCCTCTTCCCACGCCAGGGATCACACCTCTTCAGAAATGATGCCTGCCATTGTATCTTTGCATCACGTATATTTCTTGAAAAATCCTTTGCCAAAAGAACAGTGTTCTGTCCAATCTGCTGGCGGCTCCTGTGGATTCAGTCCAAAGGTCGGGCCCACTGGTTGATCCCTGAACGCTGCAACCAGGTGGCCAATTTTGAACTGTAATAGTAGCCCCTAAGATGCTTGCGAGTGTTGAATTGCTCGTCATAACCCTTCTGGCACCCTGGAAGGGGGCCCCTCGCTGCAGATGTGGGGCTTGCCTGAGGCCAGCCACTGGCAGGGGTGGGGGACCACCTGCATCCCCACTCAGTTTTTCCACTTCCCAGTGAGGAAGCTGCCTCCCACTGAGTCGGGCTGCGGCTCCTCCGGGCCAGGCTTACGACACTGGCAGGCAGCAGCCGCTCTCCGGAGGTCAGGCTAGGATCCCCTGGCCCCTCCCTGCAGCAGCGGGCCGGGCCGGGCCCCGGACAGGCCGCTCTCCCCAGCCCCTCTCCTCCACACTTGGGGTCCTCTTACCAGAGACGCCTCCAGCAACATAAACCGCCATGGTGACGGACATGGCGAAGCCGATCGTTATCACCGGCGCGCCTCCCAGGGCCCCACGGCTGAGGACGGACTGCGCGATGCACCCACATCCGAGGGCCTGCAGGTCGGAGAGAGAGAGAAGCCGGCTGACCGAGCCTGGAGTGCCACTGCTGGAAGGCCGAGCGGCTGCAGAGCGGCCGCCCTCCCGTCCGGCGGCTGGCAAGGACACCTCCCTGCTGCCCGGCAGGCGCCCGGAGTCCCCTCCACCCTTCAGGGCACTTCCAGCCTTGCCCTCCATGGGGCCGGGTGCTGCCTGGCGCTTGCAAGTCTATGCTAGGCTTCTCCTCCCGCAGTTCCTCTGTGGTTTCCCACCACTTGGCACATTCATTCATTTATTTATTTATTTAAAACATTTCTATGCCGCCCCCATCGCAGTGAGGCCTCAGGGCGGCTCACAACAGAAAAATGAGGAAGGCCAAAGGCCCACCCAGGCCAGCCTTCCATGCCCAGGGCGACAAATGACTGCCCAGGGTGGATTCGTGCCCCCTGCCTCCCAGGCTCCTCCGTGGCCGGCGTGTGCAGACACGTAACACGCAAGCCTTTCCTCTTACAGCAGAGCATTTGCTCGGGGGCAGGACCAAACCCCAGAGTGGCAGGGCCTGAACCTGCGGCACCCTGGGGCTGGGATGCGCTGCTGTCACTCGCCCTCCCCTGCCCCTGCCGGTGCTCGCGTGCCCCTCCCTGGCTCTTGGCCCCCCGAAGGCATCGAAGTCACTGCGATTCCTTTCCCCAAGGGCAAGGATGCTCCCTGGCTCTGAGGCACTCCGTCCGTGTGTGAGCGTGTGTGTGAACACGTGCTGCTGGTCCCCGAGTGCTTCAAAGTGGCTAATTGTTCTTAGGCTGCAAATTGTAATTGATTGGATCCACTTAAGCTGCGGTGGATCGATGGGTGGGTTGTAATTGTTGGGGCCGGGAGTCAAAGCCACTCTTTTTAGGACTCTTTGGATCTGGCATCTCATAAAGGCCCCTATATTGAGGTTTTCATGGCATGCAAATATATTTTAGGCTTAATCCATTGATTGATTAAAAGGGAAAAGGTTCAGTCAATCGCTAATTATTTAATCAATTGGCAGTCCTTAGGGAAACCTGTGTGATGGACAGAAAGCTGAGCCTAGCCCACGTTAGTATTCCTTGGGAACCAGAACAGGGCTGGAAAGTTCAGGAAGTCCTTAAGCCAGGGTCCATGGAGAGAAAAGTGATTTAAAATAAGAACTCCTCTATAAACTACTCAGTTTTCTGATAGTGTCTCTCCCCCCACACTGCTCTGCGTTTACCCTAAACATTTCATGAGAATATCGTTTGTTTTATTAGATGTCAGCGAAACCCAATCCTCTTTTGAGTATCATTAAGCCCACAATCAGGGTATTTTTCATGGGCTCCACTATAAAAGTGTCCTTCACTTCTCATGCTAAAACTCTGCCCAAACTTAAGCAGTTGCACGAAATCAGAATCTCAGTAAAACCCGCCGTAATTCACTCCTTCAGACTTTGAGAAAATAAAGGCAGACCTGGCATTTCCTTTCCTCCCCACGAGCGAACCAGTGAGCCGACAGCCTCTCTTCTCCCCCGCTCGCTCGCTCCCAGAGTAGCACCCTGTTTGTGGGAAGGGAGGACTGGCTACTTCCACGAGGTCAAAAACGAGGCAACACATCCCAAGCCAGCACAAAGAAGACTCCTGCTTGCATTATTTGCATGCACCGATTTGCAAATATGTCTGCATTGCTTGGAGGTAGAACCTTCTCAAGGCAGCTGCATAACCACTGGATAGCCTAATTTCTGGCAGAGGACTGTCCTCTGAAAATGAGGCCACCCTACAGAGGGACCCCACAGCGTCATTCGTTGCTGCATTTCTATCCCTCCCGTAGCTGTAGCCCTCTGGGTGGTCCACAACAGGATAGAAAATGGTGTCGGAAGGGACCCCAAGGGGCTCAGCAGCAGCTGGCTCTGGTGTGGAGCTGCCCGGCACTGAGTGTGCCGTACCGGTCGAGAGGGTGGGACTGGGACTGGGCGATCCGGGTTCTGGCCCCCGCTCGGCCGTCGAGCCAGCTTGCGGTGCTGTGGTCCCAGGGCTGACGGGGCCCGTGGGGCCACCCCGGGGACACTGCCTGCCTGTTGTGTGGGACTCGACCAGGACCGCCGGCTGCCCTGTTGGCCAGGCTCCTCGACAACGCCTGCTCGGCAGGAGCTTGTGATGCCTCCCCAAGGGCCCTTTTGCAAGCCTGAGCTTCCCGGCTCCTCCAGAGCATTTGGCCACGGCCGGGGCTTCGCCTTGCTGTTCCTGGCTGAGAGGGGGCTGGCCGGGCTGAGTGATGGCTGGGCCCATCATGTAGGAAGGGCGGACCGTCCTCCCTCCACCTCCTGCAGAGGGCAGCCTTTGAGTGAGCAGCCCGCGGGGCGGCCATGGCTAGCCTCCAGGCACGCGTGGCCACTTGTGCTGAGCCAGCCGCCTCCCCACACCTGCCCCACAGGCCCTGTGTGGGTCCTGCCTCTGTCTGGAGGGAGGCGCATCCCAGGCAGGGAAGCCACCGTGCGCTTTTGCCTCGTTCCCTGAAAGACTGCAGCGTTCTGTCAGCAGCCCACTCTTTCACAGGGAAGATTAAAGATCGGCGTCTTTTTCTTTCTGCTGCTTTCAGGATGTATCTATTACGCTTTCCAAGATACATAAATAGGACTTTCCACTATAAATACTTGCTTTCTGAAAGGTCCAGGCCCTCAGCTCTTGAAGCGACCCAGCCTCCTCCTCCTCCTCCACGGGTGGCCTCTTGGCCGGGGAGGCCTCATTTTGTTAGACTGGAGCCTCCGGGCACCACCACCAGAAGCCCGGCCGGTGTGTGAAACTGCCCTGGAGCCCGGCTCAGCGGTGCTGAGCATCCCGGCGGAAGGGCCCTGCAAGACGGCACCTCATCACGTCAGAAGGGGGGCAAGGCCGCTCCTGCGGGGGATGCAACTCCCAGCCCACCCGCCGAGCGGGGTGAGCCGCGCCAGGCCCCCTCCTGCCACTGAGCAAAGGACCCTTCTGAGGGAGAGCCGGGGCCCTTCCCTCCTTGTAACCCTGTCCTGCCCCTTCTCCGGCACTCTCCTCCTGCTCCTCTCCAGTTGTCCTCCCAAGAACCCTGTGAGGGAGGCCACAGCGCATGCCAGCAGCGGGCCCAGAGTCACCGGGGAGCGTCATGGCCGAGCGGGGTGGGGTTGCCCCCTTTCACCACTGCCAGTTTGATTATTCCGTGATGCGCAGCAGGAAAGAGGCGGTGCGGGAGGCAGCGCCTGCTCCAGAATGAGCCGCTGAAGGTGTGATCCTGCGTGCGTTCAGGCAGGGAAAGACCCACAGCCCCAGGTGTGGCTGCCTGGGAGCGGGGGGCCTTCCTCCTCCCTGTGCTCAGGAGTACACCTTTCGCCAGCCTGGTCAGCTCCGTGCTTCGCTGGGGAATGACGAGCCACACATGTGAGGCGCTAGGTGAAATCGGAGCACGTCTTTCCTAGGCATTGCTGGTGGCGTCTCCAAAGAGCAGGACCAAGTTCAAATGGACTTCCCTCCATTTGTTCTCCAGGACCAGAGTTTCAGTTTTTATAAGCCTGTAAGTAAAGTGGTTCTGTAAGGAATCCAAAGAATGTGGACTTAGCTCCACCAAGATGGTCTTTAAAAAATGCTTTCTTGTCAATAGCAAACTCTGGGATTCTGGCTCCGCTGCAGCTGTGCCTGTTTCTTCCCTGAATGTATACATCTCAGAGCTTTAGAAACTCGCAAAACTCTCCAAACAGCTCATTTAAAGTGCAGGGACTCAAAGGTTTGAAAACTGTTACCATGTAAAAACAAAGAAAACTTTTACTCTACTTGTGACTGTTTTTGCAAGTTAAAACAATGAAGCAGGAGCACGAGTAGGCGTGTTGAACTGGGGTATCAGAAGCTGCCTGAAGCTGCATCAGGCCTGGCCGGCCCAGCCATCCAGCCCAGGCTTGCCAACACTGGCAGGCAGCAACAGCTCCCTGGGGCTTCAGGCAGGACTTTCCACTGGTCCTGCTCACGGGCGCTGCCAGGCCGGGCCTGAGATTTTCTGCACCAGAGCTGCAGCTCGGCCACGCAGGCTGGCTCCAGCCTCGCTGCGTGCGGCAGCGATCCGCTTTTGGAGACACGCAAGGCAACATGGCGAGCCGTGCCCTTCTTGGCTCTGTGGCTCCCAGCCAACGCTGCAGACCTGAGCTGGGCCCACGGGAGTGGTGTGCAACTCCAGGGACAAATGCACCAGAGACACAACCCGGGTGGTCGCCGGGAAGCAGGCGCCTGCTTTGGCCCTGGGTTGCCAAGCAGGCAGGGGAAGGCGCCCTGGCGTGGGGCGCTCCTGGCACATACGGGCTGCCTGCACCCAGGGCCCTCGCGGGAACAGCCCCCCCTGTTTGTCTGCCTTGGCAAATATGCATTTGCCCCCCCGCCCCACCCCATATCTTGCTTATTGATGCCTTTGTTTCAGGCAGCTGTTTGCTTTTCAAAATGAAATGCCCGAAGCAGTGGAATCCAGCAAGTTAGCACAGAACGCTTCAAAACAGCAGTCATAAAAACAACAGGTTTGGCCTGTCAAGACCAGAAAAGAACCGCACCCTCATAAAACCCATATTGGCTCGAGCTGTGATTAAAACCGTTCAATAGAAAACCCGCATCAGGGCCCAGGGCAGGAGGAGAGCAAAATGAGCGCAACGAGGCCTAAGGGTCAAATGGCACTGCCGGCCCAAGAGAGAGCGTGCGACTCGCTTTCTCTGGCTTCTTTTACTCTCAAGTGAGCGCGGGGCCCCGATCAGAGCCTCCGCACCCAAGCTGCTTTGTTTCCCAAAATTCACCCCCCCCATCACAGACACACATGCGGGGGCTAAAAAAAGCAAAGCGCCTCTTCTGCCCCCCCCCCCCCGTGCGCCAGCCAAGGCCTCCCTCTGCTTTCCTAACCTTTGACTCCGTTGGAGCAGTTTGTTGCCTTCTGGTGTCTGTTTGATGTCATGTGTCATTGTGGGTCATCTGTCCTGGCAAACAGCTGAGAAGATGTTTGAAAAGGGCTGTTCCCAGGATGGCCAACCCCACACGGGCCCCAGGACAGCCACCCGCCTGGGCCTGGGGAGAGTGCCAGGGGCTCAGGGCACAGTTTGCTTTTGCAGCTTGCGGCAGGGATGGGAGCGACGGGAGGAGCCAAGCCGGGGACACAGCTTCTGCTCAGGGCAGGGCTTGGCGAGGGACGGGGCCATCAGGAGTGTCGGGCCCTTGCTCCGTCTCACCCAGCGTTGCCGACAAGGGCCAGCACCAGGTGCTCCCTGGAGCCGGTTGGGTTCTTTCCATCCAGCTGTGCCTGGGACTGAGCAGAGCTGCCTGGTGCGCCAGTGGGGCATGTCCGCTCCTAGTGCAGGAGCACCCGGGCCCACACCAGCCTCCTCCACCTTTGCCCAAGTCGACTGCAGCCTCCCGCTGGGGTTTCAGACGGAGTGGGGTGCGATCAGGACAGGAAAGCCGCTGTGGCATGTTGGTTGGGGTGCTGGAGCAGGATCGGGGAGGTCTGCCTTCCAGCCCCCGCTCGGCCATGACGCCCCCGGGTGCCTTTGGGCTGACCCTGACCGCCAGCCCAGCCCGCCTCACACGGCGGTTGCTGCATGGTGGCACTGCTTTGAAGACGCGAACTGGTGATCATCGGGCAGGACTTTGGAAAAGCTCCTACCGGCTGCTGTGAGCACCATATCGTACGGTGGCCTTTGAGAAACACGATGCCAGCTAGCAATGCGCTGGCAGTGATTGGTAGCATAGTTGTCCCCGTAAAATTGCCAGGTCTTCCATGAGTTTCTCTCTAAGTGAAAGCTCCTCTGCTCCGAGATCTCGCTGTCCCCTGGCTTGGGCGGGGGCGCGGCGGTCTCTGAATGGAGCAAGCGAGCGGGACTGGGAGAGTCCATGGCAGGAGAGCCTGGATGGTGTGAGCAGGAGGCAGGCGGGCACACTCCGGCTCTGGAAGCCCAGTGTGGAATATGTGCAGCCAACCCAGATTTTCCAGTCTGTAAATGGGAGTTAGTCCAATCCGGAGCTGCTGGAACTGGAGTAAAGAGCAACTCCCTCCACGCACCCCTGGGGCCCTCGCCACAGCAAACCAAACTGGGCTGTCTAGTATATTTCTGTAAACTGGGTTAATTACAGTTGCTGTTTTAATGACCAGTCTCCTCCATGGTAGAACTAGTGTTGCCTTTGCTCACATGAAATGAGACTTGGGGTGGCACAAGTCTGGCCTCACTCCCCTTTGGATCACTGTCCTGTTGGGTCTGTCGCTCAGCCCACAAGGAATATCAGCACCCTGAAAGTGCTTGGCCACCTGTCCGGCTTGCTGTGCGCAAGAGTGCCCTCTGAGGTCCCCAAGAAGCACGTGTCCCTGGCACAGCATGCCCAATGTCAGCGCACGGAAACATGGGGGGCAGTGCCCCCCAGAATCTCCTGCGGAGATCCTGCAAGGACCAGTGCATGGATTGCACCCTGCAGCTGGTGCTGCAACTTGAGTGGTAAAATGTTTTGGGATCCCCTGCTAGGAAGGAAGGAAGGAAGGAAGGAAGGAAGGAAGGAAGGAAGGAAGGAAGGAGCAAAGACTTACTATCAGTATGAATGTTCCCAGGAATTCTGCGAGAGCTTCCTTCAGCAAGTTGCTCTTGAGGGCAAATTTGTCTTTCAAACTCCGCTCTGCTTTCTTGGTCATTTTGGCGGCAGCCGTTTCCTTGGTGTCTCTGGCTGGCAAAGGGCAGCTGTAAAATTTACTCTGCAATCTTCTCTTGCCTTTCCTGAACTTTGACACTCCTCCTAATATGTTGAAATACGAGCATCTGAGAGCCCCAACCCAGCCCGCGGAATCATCTGACTATCGCTGCAATCTATGGAGCCCACTTTGCATTCTCTGCCCGTGCATTGTGAGTTTCCGTCATGTGCCTCCTTTTCTCGGCATTCATTCGCGTCACTGGCACTATTTATATCAGGCAGCCAAGTTGATGTTGAGAAGCCACATCCAGGAGCCACCGGTTCTTTTCCTCCCAATTTCTTGCTGGCTGGCTTAATCACCACTTAATTGTCCCGCATACGCACCTGGGCTATCCAGCAAGAGGAGTCAGGAAAGCCCGTCTGATCGGAACTGACAGCTGTAACAGCTCCTGGGTGGTGCCAAACGGCCTGCAGGGACGGTTTCCTGGGGATGGCTGCCAAGCGCATCGAGGCCAGGTCAGAAGAGTGCCGCCTGAGCAGGTGAGAGAAGGCACGAGCCCTGCTTAGAGGAGTGTGTTCTGCCTGCTCCCAACGGCCCCATGCCCAGGAGGGTCCGGGACACGGCAGACGAGGGGCTCGCTTGGCCAGTCTGCTGTCCAGCCCCTTGGTGCGCCCGGCGAAGAGCCCCTCTGCCTCCGCCTGGCGGTCTGGTCCTCCATCCCCTTCCCCGAGTCCAACCAGCTGCACCGGGAAGCGCAGAGGTGGGGGCGCAGCTGCTGCGAGCTCAGACGTGGAGGGGTGCTGCCTTGACGCTGAAGGCTCCGCTGGGGTCACGGGGGCCCCTCCTGATGGGCCTCCCTTTCAAGGCCCTCCAGCCGGTGGCCAGCATGCAGCGTGCAGAGCCATGGGCCCCCTTGCATTGCACGTTGCGCAAGGACGCCTGACTTTGTCCTGAACCGCCCGCTGGCCGTGGAACGAGGATGATCCCGAGTTCTGGGGAAGGGAGGGACAACCGAGTGGACCAAAGTCTCCCTTGAGCTTCAAGTGGGAAGCAGAACCTGGACATCCTGGGTCCCGGCCTGCTTCTCTCACCACTAGGCCACACTGTCTGTCTGGGGCTCTGGACCTAGCCTGGGTTACCAGGGATAGAGGGCCAGGTCACTGTGGGAAAGGGCCTCTTCCAGCCACCTCCCTCACTCCAAGGGAGCACGTTCACCAGATAGGCACTGGATTCTAGGCATACTTTCCAGAGCTGGCTTCCCGCTTCCCCCACAAATGCACATTCCACCTTCCAGGGAAATGCCTCTGGGCAGGCATGTGACAAGGCCTGTGCAGGGGAAGAACTATTTTCTCTTGAGGAAGCCTTCTGTGATTGCCCACTGATGCCACGCCATGCGGAAGATGCAAGAGAGGAACCCAGTCACCCTCAAAGAGCCTTGCGGCTTTTTAATGCACCCGCAGTATCCTTTACTGCTGCTTTTCTGCGTGTGGCAACATCCAGCAAAACATTGGTGATTTACGGTCCCCAGGAAGCATGCTGAAGGGCACAGGACTGGGGACCGTCTGTGGCATCCCCTCGGATGTGGGACCAGCCCTCCCGAAGCCACAGGGCCATCCTGGCCCACCGGTCCTCTCAGGCCTCGGAGCTTGCTGCTCGGAAGAGGGCCGCTCGGCCAGGGGCCTACTGCTGACCTCAGCCTTTCCCGCGCACTGGAAGAGCAGAGCGGGATCGCTCCCCCATCCACCCCGGAACCTCCAGGGCTCTCACCCCACAAGCCGACAATCTCCATGCCTTCGCTCAGGCTCCATATTCATTAAGCCCTAATGACTCTATTAATTGAATATGTAAGTTTGCCTAATTAGACACAAGACTTATTTCTTTGGTTTAAAGGGTAAAAATAAAAAATTTAAGCAGGCGAACGAGCTCGAGCATTTAGCGATGATGAATGGGAACTGGGGAAGTGCAATATTCCAATATGAGTGTTGTTAATGGCATCCGTTCATTAGGCGATCTACATTAGTGGAAAGGTCAGTCCGTTTTAGGACTTGATGCATTTCTTAGGCAGTAAATTTAAAACGGGGGTGGGTGTGTCGTGGCAGGGAGGAAGAGCTGAGCACGGAGAACGTGGCCTTGGGTTGCTTGTCAGGCCGGGCCGGAGTTTCCCAAGCAGTGCCTGGCCGGAGCAGGCACACCCCACGGAGCATCCTGTGGGGAAGGGCTTCCCTGATGCCATGGGCCACCCATGTGGGGCCTTGAGGCGATGCGGACAGGCCTCCGGACCCCTGGAACGGCTGCCTCGCGAGGTCCGACTGGATCCACCCAAACCCTTTGTGCAGGATGCAGATGCTAAGAGGGCCCTGCTTTTGGAAATGGCATGCAAGCCGGGAGCTGATTTTTCCACGCAGGGGACAATTTCCTGCTTCTTTGTGGTGTGGCGGTGGGTGTCTGTGGGGGTGGGGTGTCCACTGAACAGTAATTGGATTCCCAGCGATCGTTGGAAAAGCACACCTTGGGCAGAACCCGGACGGGAGGCTAAGCATGTGGGCGTTTGCTCTGCAAGCAAAACCAGCCGCGTCTTCTGTCACAGGAATGCCTGGACACCCCCGGCCGGGAGGGGACATCCAATTTCAGCCGAAGGGCTGTTGTGGGACTGGGGGGCCCTTCCTCATGCGGGGAGTGGAGGATGCCTCCAGCAATCCGCTCAGCAGCCCAGGATCCAAGTGTTGCTCAGGCCGGACAGAAGTGTGTCCACCAAAAGGGAAAGGTGGGGCAGCGCAGACGATCGCAGCCTTTCTGCTTCGCGCCTTGATTCTTCCTGAGTTTGCAGACATTTTAAAAATGGCCATGCTGGTCAAGCCCCTCATCTGGATTCCACAGGAATGGGGGGGGGGTGCCCTGGGGAGGGGGGTGCAGCAGCCCAGTCCCTCTGTAATCATAGCTCTGTTTATTTATGTATTTTGGCTCATGGCCACCGGTGGGACTGTCCCCTCCTTCCGATCCACTCGCGAAGCATCTTTGGGAGCGCCTCCTCCACACATCGGGGGCCAGTTCCGCCCTGTGTGAAGAATCCCCTTTTGGGCCTGTCCTGGACTGACTGCCAGTTTCTTCTTCGGCCAGTTTGTTTCTTCTTTCCTGCTCGACTCCAGGATGAGGAAGGAGGCGAGTTCTCCCCATCTGCTCTCCCCAGGCCAGGCCTCCCTGACGCTCCTCAGCTTCCTCCCCTGCCACCCACGTGCCTTGCAGGGCCTGACGTCACCTGCCAGCCCGGGCATGCCGCCTCCTGGGCCTGTCCCTGCCGGCCTCGTGTGCCCCCTGGGTGTGCATGCAGGCGGGCCGTGGCAGGGTTCAGAAGCCACTGCTTTGTCCACAGGAAGCCTGGCTCAGCCCCAGCCTTCTCGGGTGGGGGGGGCGAGAAAGGCCCTGCTCGGATTATGCCGGAGGAAGCCCCCTCACCCCTTTGTCCACCCGGCCCAGTGTGCCCTTCCTGGACGCAAGCAGCAGCGTGTGGTTCTGCTCCCTGCACCTCGGAAGCTGCCCGTACGCAGGGCTGGCCACAGAGGCAAGTGACTCTCCCGCCTCCGGAGAGGCCTCTTCATTCCTGCGCCAGGATCCCTTCTGCCTGGAGCTGGGACCTTCTCCATGCAGCCTTGCTCCACGCTGGGCCCTGAGTCCCCCCCCCCCCCAGAGCCTTTGCAAAGCTGCTGCCTGCCTGGGTAGCCTGTGCCAACTCAGCTCCACCAGCGCTCAGGCCTTGGGCAGCCTGCTCTGGGCAGCAGCTGCGTCGTGCAGAGGCGGGGGACTCCATCCACGCCGGCGGGCGGTCCAGAGGAGCACCGTGCTGGCTGAAGTGCCGTTTGGGGGGCCACCGCTCTCGCCTCGCTCCACCTGGGGATTGTTTCGCAGCCACCCCAAAGCCGATAAATTGCCGGGGCTTCCCCACCCCGACCGGCTCTCAAATCATCCTCGGGCTCAGAGGCATTTAAAGGATGGCTTCAATTAACCCAGGTAGTGGGGCCGGGTGGAGGGCGAAGCTCGAATCCATGATTTATCCCCGCACTAAAATTAAAACACAAGTATCTGTTGAAGAACGTTTGCTGCCAATGTGACGAGTAATGAGAGTGCCAAGTAATTAATGAGGGACATCGAAGGCTAAAGCACTTGAGGCACAATGGAACATGAGAATTATCTGGCCTTAGCAGATGGATGCCGCAGCTCCATTTTACGCCCAGCAGCCTTCTCCTGCAGCGGGTCCCCCGTGCCTGCTGCTGAAAGATAGACTGCCTCTGAACTGGGAGGTTCCACTGAACCTCTTCGCCATTGAACCGCTAACTCTTCACCAGCGATAAAACCGCCTTCTCAGGGGTTTGTCCAATCCTTCCTGCAAAGGCTTCTGAACCAGTGGCCATCTCTGTATCATATGCTGGTGTGTTTCCAAGGGCAAGAGGAGGTGGACAAGGGGCTGGGCTGTGATGCCGTTGTGGGGAGGTACAGCTGATCTGACACGAGTGCTTTTCCAGGTTCCTAGTCCATTGGAAATACCAGCCACTGACTTGGAGAGAGTCCGTCAGAGGGGGGAATGCAAAGCTCCGGCAGCTGCCAGGCCATGAAGCCGGACTATGGACTTCGCCCCTAAATAAAAGACGTAAACGAACTCTCATCGATTCAGGGTGACAACATCCAGGAGGGATTCTGCAGCAGGCCAGGTGGGTCTCTCTGACTTCGGGCCACTGCCTTTCTGTCCACAACCAAAGTTGTGTTGCTCGGTCAGTTCAAGGACAGATGGACAGACAAGCCTGGCTGGAAGGGCCGGGCTTAGCCTTCAGGCGAGGAAGGACAAGCCCAGCGGCACCCGTTTTGCAGGAACCAGCCCTGTTGCTCCCCAGCAGACTCACCACTGTCCTCCAGAAGAGGCAGTCCCAGGAGGGACGGCCTGAATGGCCAGCCTGCCCCATAGGACGCTCCTTCAGCTCTCCCAGTGGTGTAGCGGGGGCAGGACACGGGTCCGGGAGGGCCCCAAACTGAGCAAGGCAGGCAAAGGGAGGTCGTCTTGGAGGTCGGTGAGGAAATATCCGCCCCCGCTTTCCAAAGCAGAGCCCAAAATTATGTGAGACCCCACCGCGCTCCCCCGTCCTGGGCCATCTGGGGCAATACAAGAAAATACCGAGCGGAGTGCCGCACAGGTCATCAGCGCAAACGTCTCCGGGCTCGCGGAGAGCAGCCGCCTCGCGGTGTCTTCGGAACAAATGGGAGTTTCTGCAACTTTTCCAGGGCAGCCCCGCATAGGCTGCCCTGCTCATTTCCACGGGACGTCCTGCAGGACTCCGCGTGGATTTTACCTGGTGGGAGGCGTTGCATTTTCTGCCTCAAGCCCCCTCAGAACTGCCCTTTCCACAGGGCCCCAAGGTTTGGGTTTATCAAGGGGGAAAGGGTAGGCAGAGCGCTGTGCCGCACTTTCACAAAGCTTTGTCATGTCCTCCCTTGTGGTACAGCCTTGCGCACGGTTGCAAAGGAATACATCCCAGCCGGTTTAATAGGATGCAGGCCGTGTGCAGCTGAGCGAGAGGTCTGCAGCGGGATCTTCCCCAACCTGGCGCTCCCCTCCAGATGCAGCGAAGGTTCTTTAGGGCGCCCCTTGGCACATCTGGGGAGGCAAAGGGGCTTCTCCCCTGGCTGCAGCGGGCTCTGACCTTTGGTCTGTGCGAAGGTACAAAGGCGCGGCCGCGGTCGCTTCGCCTCCCAGCGGCGGAGGCCCGCTTCTCCGGAAGCAGAGAGTGGGGAGGCACAGCGGGAACGCACGGGACGGCCGCGGGGACCCAGGCGGCACCCGAGCGGCCCGTCCGCGACTGCTCCCGCGCGGAGAGCTGCCTGCAGCGCCCGCGCGCCCCAGCAGGTGGCGCCAGCTGCGCGGACGGTGCCTCCCCGCCGCCGCTCCCTCGGAGGCGCGCCCCCGCTCGGGCCGCGCTGGCGCTGGTCCGCGAGGACTAGCCCCTTGGGCGCGAGTGGCAGGATAGCGCGCGCTGCTGGCTCGCGCGTTGAGCGTCCACCCGGCGGGAGTGGCCCGCGGACGGCTTCCTCGGCGGCAGTTCCTCCCGGGAGCCCGAGTGGTGGCTGGCGGGCTGGGGGCACCCGCTGGCAGCCCCGTGCGGAGGGAGCGCGCGGCCTGCCTGCCCTTTCCAGGCTGTCCGAGGAGAGCTCCGGTCGAGAGCAGGATTTAGGGGCGCGATGGGGCGCAGCGGCCTCCGCCTTCGGGGCGCGCTGGGCGAGCGGGGGAGACGGGCTGTGCGGGCCGCGGGCAACAGCCCACGGCGCCCGTCCCATCGCAGCCCCCGGGCCGCTCGGCAGCCCGCCGTGCTCGGGCTGTGCGTGTCCTCGCGGTGGGCACGGTCCAGCCGCGGCGACGCCCTCGGGCGGGCTGGGTAGCGGGCGTCCCGGGGCAGTTGGACGCCCGCAGCGTGGGGCGCCGCGCAAAAGCTGCCTGCGGGGTCGCCGGACCTTTGCCCGCGCGCCGTCGGGCCCGCGGCCAGCTCGCCCCCCGCGGGGGCTCCTCGGCTCAAGGCGTGCCGTTCATGCCCCGGTTCCTCGCGGGGCTTTCAAACCTGGCAGCTTCTGCGCGCCGGGGAGCCCCGTTCACTCGCCAAGCGGATCGTGCCCCGGAAGCGCGCGCCTTGGGGGCTGGGCGTGCCCGCAGCAGGTGTCCCGCCGCGCCCCCGGCTCGGGGCTCGGCCTGTTCCGAGGCAGACCCCGCGCTGCGAAGGGCCCCGATCCGCGCGGCGCCGCCTCAGCAGGCCTCGGGGGCAGCCTTGGGCGCCCGGCGCCGCGAGCTCTCGGCGCTGTCTGCGAACCCGCCTGATCTCCGGGAGCGCGAAGCGGCTTCGCTGCGGGCTCGGATTCCGGACTGCCCCTTCTGTGCGCGCAGAGCACGCGGCGGCGGGGGGGGGGTGCGTTCCAACCCCTCCTTTGGACGGGCATCTGCGCTGCTGCTGGGTTTACTCGTGTGTCCCCCGGGGGGCCGGGACCCCACGGGCTGCCCCAGAGCAACTCTGCCTGCCTCCCCTTTCGCAGAGCTACGCGCCCAACTCATCCTACAGGCTGTGTGTGAGGGGGGGGGCAGTGTTCTGCTCGCCCTTCCTCTTCCCCCAGCGAGCCGTCTGGGGTCCTGTCCTGGCGGCCGCAGAGCGCAGCACTCCCCGAACCGCAGTGCAGGGTGTGCGCGCCCGCGCCCGCGCGGCCTTCCGGAGCGTCCCCGCTGGAGTCGCTCGCGCGCTTGGCCTGGCCCGGCCCGGCCCGGCCCGCGGAGGCAGCCCCGGGCCCGCCGCGCAGGGAGGCGAATGGGCGGGTTGGCAGCCGCGCCGCAGCCCGGAGGCATCGGGGTTGGAGAGGGCCCTGGCGCGGAGGTGTTGCCACCGCGGCCCTGGGCCCGGCGCCCTTTCCTGGGGGCGAAGCAGCGCGCCCGTCCCATGGCTGGCTCCGCGCGCTGCGGGCCGGATTTGTGCGGGGCGCGCGTCCTCCCAGACGTGCTGGCTCACTGCCCCCATTTTACAGATGAGGAGACTGAGGCTGCCGTCCCCAGACCCGCGCTGGAGACGGCCTGTGGCCCGGGTTTCCGAGGAGCAAGCCGTGCCTCTCTGGGAGAGTCATCGCAGCCCCTGCGCTGGCGATGCCCTCGCGCCCCAGTGAGGAGGGGAGAGGCTCTAAGAGAGAGTTTGGGCCCCCCCCCCCCCGCGGCATCACTTTCTGGACGAAGCGCCCCTGGGCTGCTCCAGGCGGGCCTCTCCCCTCGGGGACTCGCTCAGAAACTGCCGCCTCGCGCTGCGCTCCCTGCGCTGCCTCGGGACCGGGGTGCGAATTCTCCCGCGATTCTGGCCAGGAAGGCCTCCCTCGCCCGGCCCTCTCCGTGCCCCCTCCCGCCCCCTCCCCTGCCTTCTCGCTCATCGACCCAGCCAAAGGGGGTGCCGGGAGAGCCTCCCCCGCGGGCGGGCGGACAGGCAGGCAGAGCGCCCGCGCCCCGTGCCTGCCCGCCTGGACGCAGCCGGGGGCTGCGAGGGGGCGGGCTTGGCCGCCCGCCAGGAGGACCTGCCGCTGCCCCGGCCCCCCAGCTGGGCCGGGGGCTCCTCAAAGGGGACCCCGCGCCATTGTCCTGCGAGGCAGGCTGGGCCAGCCTCCCTGGCCCTGCCCTCGCGGCCAATAAGAGGAGGCTGCCTGGACACCTGCCTATATACGGGGACGCGGCCAAATCATCGCGCGGATCTTGGGGAGAGAGGGAAAGAGCCGGCCAGCGCCTGTCCGCCCGCCTCGGGTCAGAGAAGTGGGGACGCCTTCGCTGCGGCAGAGCTCCCGCGGAGATGACTTCCAGCAAGATCGAGATGCCTGGGGGCGTGAAGGCGGACCCGGCGGCGCTGATGGCTTCCCTGCAGCTGCTGCCCTCGCCCACCCTCAACCTGGAGATCAAATACACCAAGGTGAGTGCTGCTCCTCGCCGCTGCCCGGGCACACGCTCGAGGAGACCAGAGCTGCCCGCTCTCCGCTGGGAAGCGCGCTTTGCTCGCCCCCGAGGAGAGACCGGTCCCTGCCCCGCCGAAAGAGCGTCGCCAGACCCCGGACGCGCGCAGCGCACGCTTCCTTTGCGCAGAGGGGGAAATCCACGGGGAAGCCGACCTGCGCGGGAGCCTTCCCAGGACCGAGCGTGCCGTGTCGTCTGTCTGACACTTTAACCCACTGATCAGTCGCTTCTTCCCAGGAAAGGCGCTTTCCCCAGCTGTGCCCGAGCCGCGTCCGGGGAAGGTGTTGCCTGTCTCTTGTTACGTGTTACTGAAATTCGCAAAAAGGTGTTCACGTTTGTTAAAAGTGGTGTGTGCCGTTCCAGGGCCACTTCCTTCGCAATTCTTGTAGATTTCATCCAGCCGAGTAGTTGCAGCTTTGAGAAGGGGGTTCTCTTGGCTGATTTTCTGGGGAGGCAAACCTCATCCAGAAGGAACCCTGTTAGAAAATGCTCTTTTACTTGGAAGCATGAACGGCAGGCAGTTGCGTGTGAATTCCGCCAGTGCTCGGGGCGGGCGGCATCTCCCCTGGACCGAGATATGAATGTTTTCCCCGCGTCTGATTCTGCTCTGCAAACGTCGGCGAGTCGCGCTATCCAGAAATGACACCGCAGCCCGAGAAAGGCGTGGTTCATTTTCCAGCTGTGAATTTCTGGTTCTGTTATTAAAATACTTTGGGCACGATCCTGTGGGGAGCTCCCCGACAGGATCCCCACTGAGATGAATGCGGACAGTGGCACAGGGGCTTGTTCAAGGCATCTTCTCGTTCTCCTAATTTTGGTCCCACGGTGCTTTGAAAAGGACATTAGATATCAGGGTTGCAAAAATGACACCATTTTTTTAAAAGAAAGTACAAAAAGTACTAAAGCAGGTAAATGTACGCTAGGTAAAGAAATGCCACGGATACAAGCAATTTATTTATTTCATTTAGATACTGCCCAATAGCCGAGGCTCTCTGCTTTACTTAAAAAACAAAAAACAAAAACACGCTACTCCAAACTCTGTTTTAATTTTTATGGGTGTTCCCAATTTTTAATTCAAAATTGCGGGAACCCCTTAATAACCCATATCAAAATGCAGTAGCCCTAGAATGGTTTGCAGATAATGAAAATACGTGAGCTGTTTAAACATCGGGAGAAAAATGGATGCATCCCGGATTTCTTGTGTGGCATTTCCTTGCCGGTAGAAAATGGGGAACACCTTGCGCAAGGTAAGGCTTGTTGCCCAGGGTCCGCGTGGGCAGAAACCACCGAGATTACGCTATTTACGTTCTCATTGGTTTCAATGGGAGAAAATTAAGTTGGGGGGGAGCACTCAAGTGGGTGGGAAACAAAGGGCTGTGCAAATCCCTTCCTTCGGCCGGTCCCGCTCCCCGCAGCCTCGCACTGCAGACTCGCTGCTTCCCAGTTGGGCGGCCCCCCCACGGAGCAAACGCCCCCCAAGATCCCGCCGCCGCCCTCCGATTCCTTCGCCGCCCTCTGATTCCATCGCATCCTCCTCTTCGGTCGGTACCAGTAATGCCGAAAGGGGCTCCGCGTGGGCTGGACGGATTTGCTGGTGGTCGAGGCACATCCTCGTCCTGGTGGCCGGTCCTTGGAAGGGCCTGCCGGATGTTGCAAAGCGTCCCCCGCGGTTCCTGGAAGCGGCAAGGTTTCTCCAGCCCGGGGACAGCCGAGGATCAGAGGGGCAGCTCGGCCAGGGCGAACGGGGCAGATTGGGCTGGGCACCTGCGCAGCGCGATCCTTTGCTGCTTTGCCCGGCAGGAAGTCACCCCGACTTTCTGGGGGCTTCCCCCGCCCCCATCGGGTTAGCCCTGCGGCCTTACGCTGCGCGAGGGTTCTCGGGGCTGCGGCCCGCGGTCTCTGCTGCCTTTTCCTTCCGTGCGGGGGCCCGGGGCCTGCTCCCGCGACGTGGCGCACGCCGCCGCCTGGGACCCTGTCCGAGGACCAGGCGATCCGGGCTCCAGTCCGTCACCGGGCGCCCTCGGATGGGGATGCTGTGCGCAACGCGCCGCTCCGTGGAGAGCGGGCGGTGGATGGAGGACGCATGGCGGGAGGGGTGTGCGGGGCGAGGCGGGAGGGGCGCAGGGGCAGGATGGGGCAGAAGGCTTGTCCCCCAAAGCGCCTCGATAAGAGAGTGGGCAGCTGCGCGAGACCCGCCGCAGCCCAGGCCCCTCGATGGGAACCGCGGTCCCCACCGCGTTCCTCTGCACAGCCGTCGCTCGCGGGTTTCCCCCGCTGCCTCCCAGGCATTCTGCAACGAGCCGACGGGGCTGCCTTCCGGAGAGCGCGGTGCGGGGTGCGGTGCGCTGCGGTGCGGTGCGGATGGAAGGCCCAGCCTTGCCCTGGTGGGTCCCCCCGTTGGCCGGAGCCCCCCCTCGCAACCCCCACCCTCCCTTTCCCCCGCCCGCTGTCTCTCCGCAGGCGAGACGAGTGATTTATGGCTAAGTGCAGCCCCGAATTGGGTGTTCGGGCTCCGGCCGACTTTTATCCATGATCCACCTTCCCACTTATTGGAAAGAAAAACAGAAGGAGAAACGATGGCCTGGCACCGGCTTCCTTCGGTCCATGGGGTCACTCCTCTCCCTCCCGTGGCAACTTTTGTAAACAAAGGGGAACGCTTCATGTCCAGAAGGGTCCTGGATGGGGGGAGGAGGTATCCAGCATCCCGGGGGTTTGCCGCACGCCCCCTGCCCCTCTCCTTCCCAGGAGCGCGGGAGCCGCTTGGGATGCAGCCTCCCTCTTGCTCAGGATGCAGCGCAACTTCGCCACTTCCAGCTGGCGCGAGTCGCAGGGCTGCTGCCAGCCCGAGATGAACAGAGGGGCTGTGGCAGCTGTGCCAGCCGGGCGGGGGTGTTCAGGGGGCCCTCTCATGGGACGAGGCGAGGGGGCCGCCTCACGCGTGAGATTTTGAGCATCGGGAAGGAGCTGGAGAGAAATTTGACACCGGGCACAGCTTCCGATCCTTTCCAAAGCACTTTTCTCGCCTCTCTGGAACTCACGATTCCACCAGCCGCACGTGGAAATGCCCGTTTCTCCATAACATCCCAAGTCTAAGATGGGGGGGGGGGGGGGGGGTGCTGGCAGGGGGGAAGGTTCAGGAAATATTTTGCTCGTTCTGCAAGCTGTTTACATAGCCAGGAGGTCTGCATTAAATAAATCCAGCATGTTCGAATGCGCACTGAAGGAAAGCAATCCATGGCAGTGCATCAATCGGCTTGCATGGGGAACGCTGGCTGGTGCCGCGGGGTGGGGAGCGCCGCACGGGCCCCCAGTGCCGCTGCAGCCCCGCATCTTCCCACCACGCACGCCTTCAACCCGGCTTGCCTTTGAGGAAGCTGCAGTATTATCGCAAACATTTTCCTGGTCCAGGGAAGGGGAACTGCAGCAGAGGCAGATAGCACCAAGTGTTGACAGCGGGAGGCCTGGGAGGCCCTGGAGAAGCCCCCCCCCCCCCCCGCCCCACTGCCTCACAGGGTCTGTGTGTGTTCCGCCCATTCAGGAGCAGCAGCCCGGCTGCTGGGGGAATCCTCCAGGGCTGGATCGGCCCTGAATGCTGCAGTGGGAGCCCTGGCCCAGAGTGCCCCTGCCGGCCGCAGCCTCTGTGCGAGGTGCCCGCACTGATCAATGCGGGGTTTGCGCCTGGGCACAATTGCTAGGAAATGGATCCCAAGGATGCTGGTTGATCTGCTCTTCCTTCCGGTGTGCCGTCAGGAATTGATTTCATTGAGCTGTGCTTGCTTGGAAGGGGAGTCCACACAAGCTGGGACCCGGGAAGAGGCCTGGGCAGGGGCCTCTCCACCCATGGCCAGTTAGATCCCTGGGGACTCAGGGAGAATCGAGTGATCCCCGCAAGGTCCAAGATGCCAGCAGGGGGAGGTTGGTGCTGAGTGCGAAAGGGCTGTGGCGGGCGCCGTCAGGCCTGGCTTGACTTCCCAAGCGAGCCGCACAATCCCGGCAGGGAGCAGCCGTGTTCTGGTGGAGCAGCAAGGGCTGTGGAAGGTCCTTTGCGAGGCCACCAGGAACCCAGGATTCCTCATGGCTGCACGGGAATGGAGTGTCGTGCCCCAGAATCCCCTGGGGTGTGGCAAAATGGCAGCTGCGGTGTGCCACTGGTCATGCAGGGCTGCTTGTGCTCGGCCCTGGCTGGGCAGTCCCGCAGAGGCTTAGCTTGACACTCCGGAAGCAGGTTCCTCGGGTGTCCCTGTGGGTGCTTTGCACTGCTCGCCCTGTGGGGGGACTGCGGCAGGGCAGCGGGGGCTGCCAGCACTGGGCTGGCTCCCTCCGCATCCAGCCCTGGACTGGGAGCTCCTCTCTGCTCGTTCCCTTCTTTCCTCCCTTTTGGCTGGCCCTTTGAAACTGCAAGACGATGCTGGCTGTTTAAAGCAGAGGCATTCAGGCCCGGCAGCAATCAGCCCCTGCACCACCTGCAGGGCAGCCTCAGTGGCACGTTTAGGGGGCTGCTTCCCCCTCCCTCCCTCCCTCCCTGCCTCCCTGCAGGCTTCCTGTTGGAGCCACTGCAAATGTGCCAGTCCAGGCCGCCCGATCCAGCCGCAGGGCGCAGCACACGCTCTTGCGATCCCAAACCTGGCTGAAAACAAGCCTTCATTTTGAAGTCAGTTTAAACAAACCAAAGCCATTTGCCGCAGATAAATTCTGCCTGGATTGGGAAGCTTTTGCTGGCCCCAGTAAGTGGCCTTCTAAAGCTTGCGATCTGTCAGCAGGCTTAGCACATTTTTATTGCGAAGAAGTAACGAGATGCAATCGCACCTGCAGGCCCATGCAAGGCTCCCTGGGATGGGGCTGCCCTGGAGCCGAGGAAGCGAGGAGCTGCCCCTGCAGAGCTGGCCGTCGGGCACGCTCCGGCCGGCACAGCTCGGCAGCCACACTCCCTGGACTTGGGGCACGAGGAGCATCAGCACA